CGTGAAGATGAACAGTAAATTAATGTTCAAAGTTCACAAGTGGGAAGTCTGGATAATGCATCCGCGTTTGACAGTTTTTTTTCCAGGGCAATGTTCTATTTCGAGATTATATTTCTGCAAAGCTATGGCCCATCGTTGTAATTTGGACGATGATTGCGGAGCATTTCTCACTATAAAGGCTAGAGGATTATGATCAGTCACAATTTTCACCGATGAACCGAATATCCAAGGTTCAAACTTCTTCAATGCCCATACTATAGCATAAGCTTCACGCTCTATAGTCGGCCAGCTCTGTTGAGGTTTCGATAATTTCTTGCTCGCGTAGCAGATGGGAAATTGCTTCTCTCCCCTTTGCTGTGACAAACATGCACCTATTCCGATTTGGGATGCATCAGAATGAATGACAAACGGATCCTGCAGTGTTGGGGTGATCAGCTCCGTTGACATCGCTAATCGTTCCTTCAGTTGTTGAAATGTTGACTCATGAATTTCTTTCCATTCGAGTATTTCCGGTTGTTTATTTTTCGTGAGTTCTGTGAGTGGGTAGGCGATCTCTGCATACCCTGGGATATAATCGCGATAATAATTACATAGTCCTAACAGACTTTTAAGATCTCTTTTCGTTTTCGGCGTTTCCAGCTTCTTGATTGCCTCTATTTTCTCGGGATCTGGTTGATGTTTTCCTGATCCAATGATGTGTCCTAAATATTTAATTTGAGGTTTTGCAAACGAACATTTCTTCGAATTGATAGTAAATCCAAGTGACTCTAGTTTGGTAAAAACTTTATCCAGATGTCGGAGATGAGTGTCGAAATCCGTGGAAAATATAGCTATGTCATCAATATAGGCTCTTGAAAATTGTTGAAATTCTTTCAGCGCGTTATTCATTACTCTCTGAAAAGTTGCTGCTGCGTTCCTTAATCCAAAGGGTAGCACTTTAAACTGATATTGACCTCGATGAGTTTTGAACGATGTGTACTCTTTACTTTGTTCCTCCATGGGAATTGCCCAATATCCTTTCAGCAAATCTAAAGTTGTTATGACGTTGGCTCTTCCTATACTGTACATTAAATCAATGGCATTTTGCATAGGAAAGTCATCTGGCTTCGTCACTGCATTCAAAGCTCGATAATCTAAGCACAATCTGATATCTCCATTTTTTTTGCTTACACAAACTACTGGATGAGCTATTTCTGCATTACTTTCTTCTATTAGTCCCGATTTCAATAATTCTTCTACTTCTTCATCGACCTTGGGTTTCAATGCTTCAGGAATCCTATAAATGTAAGGTTTCTTCCTCTCCATATTGGGTATTAATCTAATTTTATGAGCTTCAACTTTAGCTATTTTCAGCTTTCCGGTGAATAGTGCTCGGTGTTTGTTGATAAGAGCTATCAATTTTCTTCTCTGCTGCGGATTCAAATTTTCTAAATTCAGATTTGCATCTATTTTAAAATCTTCCAGGGGGGTCGAGAGATCTTTTCCTGGTAAAGTTATAATTTCTCCAAATTCTTCTTCATTTTCAAATATCACTCCAACTGCATTGACACTAGCTTGGAATTTTCTAATTTTATTTGCATGAACATGTTTGATCTTTCCATCAGGTAGTTTTACTTTATAGGAATGAGGTGGGCAATGATTCACGATTTCTCCTGGACCAGTCCATCGTGCATAGAGTTTGTTATTTGAATCTGGTATGAGTAAATAAACTTGTTCTCCGATTTTGAAATTTTTTGGTATTGATCTCCGATTAAAGTACTCAGCATATTTTTGTTGTTTATCACTTGCAATTAAATTGGCTTGTTCGGCTGCTTGTTCTAACCTTATTTTTAAAAGTTGTAAGTAATCCACTGCCGATTCACTTAGATTAGGTGGTATAGGTATTTCTCCTGACCATGAAGACTTCAGTACTGCTAAAGGACCTCTTGGTTGTCTTCCATACATCAGCTGAAATGGTGAGACACCCGTGGTGCAGTTTGGTACTTCTCTGTATGCAAAGAGCAGGTATGGGATGTGCTTATCCCAATTCGAAGGATCAGTCCTGATGACATGATGTAACATTTGCTTGAAGGACTTGTTCCATCTTTCTACTAATCCATTTGAAGCACTGTAAGCAGGTGTAGAGAACCTAGGGTGAGAACCTAGTCTTTTCTGGAATTCTTTAGTTAATTTTGAAACGAAGTTACTTCCGTTGTCACTAGCTATTGTATTAGGGATTCCTGTTCTCATGAAAATCTCCAAAAGCGCGTCGCAAGTGGCTTTTGCTGTCAAGCTTCTCAGTGGAATGGCTTCTGGCCATCGGGAATGTTGATCTACCAGACATAACACATATTTATGTTTCCTAGCAGAGGGAAGGTTCAATAGGTCCAATAATGTCGATGTTAACTGTTTCGAAAGGTAATCCTGGCCTTCTGACCGGTGTGATGGGAATCTTGTCAGATCGCTTTTCTGGACTTTTCAACTGACAATCTTTGCACGTTTTACAAAAGGTTTCAACATCTTGTGCTAATCCAGGCCAATAAAATGAATATCGTATTCGCTCCTTTGTTTTTCTTATCCCAAGATGTGCACCGAAAATGGAACTATGTGCTAATTCCAACACTTGTGCTCTTCTACTAAGTGGAAGCACTAACTGAAAAACATTCTGTCCTAATATTTTTTCTTGGTGATGTAAAAGATGATCAATAAATAAATAATTTCCTTTTTTTTCTATTGCTAGCTTCCATGCTTCTCTCAGCGAGGGACAGTTAACTTGCTCTTCGCGTAGGCGTTCAGCAGACGATAAGTCTGTGTTTACATAAACACTCGCCTTCTTCCCTTCCTCCTCTTCGTTTTTCTCCTCCATAAGCATTAGCGGGGGGGGGGGGAATCGACGCTGTCGTTTGACTGTGCATTGGCGAATAAAGTTTGTAAGTTTTCGCTTCCGTAATTATTTCTTTCTGCGTTTGGTTCTTCTGCCGCAGGATTAATCAACAGTTCGTATATTTCTGGAGTTATTAGGCAAGGCACATTTAGCTTATCAGTCACTGCAATTAATGTATCCACAAAATTAAATATATTGCTTCCATGATCTTTATGGTAAATAGGTACACGGCAAACTTTTGCTTCAATTGGTTGTCCGAAAGCAGGTGTTAGCAATATTTTACCTCCTTCTCTCTCCTCTAAATTTGGAATGAGCGATGAATGTACGATCGTTATCTGCGTTCCAGAGTCTACGATAGCTTCGATTTTCTCAGAGTTAATAAAAATATCTACTTTTTGCAGTGGTTGAACGATGCGTTCTGCGAATTCAGATCGTAGATGGGATGAGTCTACTTTAGCTACGATGGCTTCTTCTTTTGATGTTCTGTTTGAATTTTTTTGAGTTTTGGAATCATCCTTTCCCTTCTTATTTACTGCAGTTTCGTTCTTTCTTCTTTTGTCTGGGGCAATCTCTCGCGATGTGTTGATAATTTCCACAAATATAACATTCTTTTCTTCTCGCGTGAAATCTTTCGTGTTTTGGATATTCTTTTCTCATGGGTGGTGGAATATATTTGTCGTGTGCACATGTTGTATCCAGGAATCTCGGTGATCGCTTAATTCCATTTCGAACTTCGTCGAAAGATTTTCCTTTGGCCGTGAAATAAATATCACATTCTGTAGCTAATTCTTGAGGCTTCAGCCATTTATTTCCTTGGCGTATTGCGACGTGTGCAGCTGTTTCTTCATCTAATGCTTGGAATAATTTATCGGAAATAATTAACTCCTTGAGTGTTTCGAAATCCTTTACTTCTCTTGACTTGCAGTAATAGTCCCATGTAGCTGTTAGTCTTGAAGCGAACTGGATATGCGTTTCGCCGGAATAACGTTTAGTTTTTCTGAAGTTTTCTAAACAGGTTTGAGGAGTAGGTTGATATTCCTTCAGAACAAGAGTTTTCACTTTTTCGTAATTTTGCAGATCTTCCTCCTTTATATAAACAAGAACATTTGAAGCTTTTTCTCCAATTAATTTCAATAATATTTCTGATTTGTATTCTTCAGGAACCTTCTTGTGCTTAAATGCTCTTTCGATAGAATCGAAAAATATATTCCATTCTTCTGCTCTCTTCGGTACTGGTATAGTCAGTGTTTCTACTCCTTTGATCAGCTTGTCCAGGGAAATTTCGGTTTCTCGTTCTGTGTTTTGGATTAAAGGTGTTGGACTTCTACTTCCTTCATTTTGAGTTGCTCGAATCTTCGCTAGTTCTATTTCGTGTTCTCTTTCTGTTCTTATTCTTTCTTCTTCCATTTGCATTCTTTCCATTTCTTCTTTTCTTTTTCTATTCTCCACTGTAGTAATCAGAATTTCTTTCACGAAATCAGCATCTTCGATGTATTCCTTGCTATTCTGGAGTTTGTGTTTCAGTTCTACCAGCTTCAAATCTGGGGATGCTTCTTCGCCAATTTCCAATAGAACTGTTACTAAATCCTCTTTCTTTGCGTTTTTGAACATTTTCTTCTATTTTCCTTTAGAATCAAGCCTTTCAAACTCTCGATTAAATAATTCTCACGTTTTTACTCTCTCTTTTGCAAATGAACACTTCTTTCGTTAGTTAGGCTTAACTTTACGCCTCTTCCGTTTTCAACGCTCTAAGCTTCTAACCTCTCTGGTTTTCTCGTAAGAGAGCGTGTTGTGATGACTTCGTGGTTTAATAAGGCACCATTTAGCAAGACGAAACAAACATTTATTAATATATAATTCAAATAATAATATAATAGTTACTCAGAGCAGTACGTCGCTCCTACCGCATTGTACAATCTACTACCTTCCTCTTCCGAGGCTAACATGCAACTCCTAATAAATACATTAACCCTTCTCGAAGAAGAGCTACCTGCGCCAAGCATGCTCTGTTGATCGCCAAACAGTCGCCAGATATCACAGAAGTGAAATTCATTAAAACGAAATAACGCAGATTGTCTTTAGTATTAACATCACAATTGACCCTATTTGATCGATAAATATGTTAAGAATAACCGAAAAGTAACAAAAGGAGATTTTACTTTCTCTATGTATAGTGTATTTTCTACCATCAATACGAAGTGAAGTGAATAAAATTTCTAGTAGAATGTAAACATTGTTTCTTTCGGAAGCCGGTTGGAAAGTTGACTTGTTTTCAAAAAGTCTCTCGCTGTAATATAGTCCGATTTTTTTTAATAGCTTATCAGAAACTCACTTAATTTCATATCTTTGCTTTTTTCAATACATTTGAATAACTATTATTTCTGACTAGAAGTACTGCAATAATGGATTGGCAAGGTCGCTGGAACCACATAGCGAAAGTTCTTGAGAGAAATGGACCTTTTGCCCATGAAGACTTTTCACCTGGACCTGAGGTGTTTATTTTCTATAGTAAAAATGCTGGTTTTTGATATTACGTGAATAATTGTTTACATTTTGTGTATGAATTAATATTTTTGGGTTCTTCTTTGATTTCTTTCTTTTCCATAAACTTTTAAGTTTCTAAATATTGTAATGTCTTGAAATTAATCTCACAATTGAACCTGACGATTTATCTGTATAAATATATATTTCATATATATATATATGCATTGGGTTTTGCCCCTCAGTTCTTGTTTATGTATGTTTGTTTCCATAGTTTCTTCAGTCATTTTATGTTTTCCTAATTAAGTTGTTTTTCAAAATCAATAATTCAAATGAACTATGACACCATGAAAGAACTCTCTGTGGCATTAAGCCATCTAAAATGGAATAAATCTTCAAGTGAAGATGCAATTCATGCTGATGAATTTAGGCATTAAAGCAACTCATTCTAGTCTGAAGTTTTTCAGTATTATGTGAGATACCATCTGTATCCCCTCAGCGTGGTGTAAATCAATAATCTCAATCCCCCAAAAAAGGAAAGAAGCCCAATGACATAAAGGGAAACAGACTGATTTCACTCTCAAATATTTTATGTAAATCTTAACGGAGAGGATAATTCAATAAAGGCTAAATTGGTATGTTGAGAATTTTCAGCTTATAGTCATTGAACAGGCTGATTTCTGACAATATAGGTCAAATGGCCAGCATTTACACCACTTAGCCAAATGATAAGAATATACTATATAAAAAACAACACCTTCGGATTATGGTAACTTGGCGAAAATTTGGCAACCAACCCTGCTACAGCAGCCTGCTAGTTTTTTTTTTGGTCGCCATTTTGTTTTCACAAAATAAAGGCACATTTTTTTTTTTTTTTTACTCAACATTTTTTTCCAACAATCTGCTAGCCGAATTACGCGTATGCTAGAACTTTTATGGAACAAAAGTGCTTAGTCATGACGAAGATTAGGTGCGAAATTGGGAGAAAGTGCAGAATCGCGCACTGCTTGCTGTGTTTTTAAGAATTGAACATACATGGTTCCATGTACACATCGGCCTATTTTCACTTAAAAAAAAATCCCAGAATTGTACAAAAATGGCATTGCGCACACTCTTGACCTTATTCATGTAAACTGCTTAAGTCCTAGCTAGTAACCTTTATCGCCTTACCAAAATGTCGCCAAACTACCTGTTACCATATTCCAAATATTAGCCAAAACCCTTTCTCCAGTTTTCATTGACTTAAAATCTATTTATGACTTAGTTTGCAGGGGTACTTTACTCTAAAAGCTTTTCAATGTTGGAGTTCACTCAAACACATTTCATTGGTTTAAAAGTTTTCTTAGCCAGCAAATTTGTCGAATTCATTATGAAGATTGTTTATGATATAAAGTTTTAAGGACTGGCCTCCCACAGGGAGCTGCTACTAGATGTCTTCTGTTTAACATATACATAAATAGGCTGATAACTGAAATTAAAAAAATGGTGTTAAAAGTTTACTGTATGCTGACAGTTTCGTCTTCCGGACTGAGACTCCCAAACATCATGCAAAGGAAAAATCAGAATTATTTCTAAATCAAGTAAGGACAAATTGCTTGTTTTTGCATAGAAACTCTAATTTTAATTGTGAAAATTGTTTTAACTGTGTTTGGTGTTTTATGTTTTTCTAGATCTTTCAATTTTTAATGAAAATAATTGGAATTTTTATGCATTTTTGACTTATCCCGAAGTGAGAACTGATTTAATTGAAATAGAAATGTATCTCTTATGAAATTCGAGGAAACAAGTTTAAATGAAGGAAAAAATGCAGGAAAAAGTGCATATAATTTGATACTCCATGAAGGAAGTTGTGGTGTAGACATCATATTATTTTATTTTTAATGATTACTCACTTTTAAAATTTGTCATCTAGTTTTGTTGATAGATTTATTTTTTATGTTTTATTTGTTTTATTACTACAGACAGTAATATTATTCACTCTGTAAAATTTTATTTTTTAGGTATTGAACTTTATACAGAATGTTTGTAATGTTCTAGTCATTGGTGCCGGAGGACTGGGTTGTGAATTGCTGAAAAATTTAGTAAGCTTTCTATTTTTAAAATTATAATAATTATAAGTAGAAATACTACAATGGAACTACTCTGATATGCGCCCTCAAGTCGCCAAATTCCTCGCCAAATATTTTTGGCGAGAAACTCCACGCTGTCATATTACTATCTAAATTTTTTGTCTACATTTCAAACTTTAAGTTTAAAGTCTCCAAGAACGCGGTTCTCGTATATGCAAAAATGACGTTTTGAACACGCAATTTAAGCTAAAAATCCGAAACAAAAACCAAAAAAATTAGATAGAAAAACGTAAGGTTTCTAACCAAAAATATTTGACAAGAATCCATGTACATAGCGATATGTTTTAACTTAAAAAAAAATCTACGAACGGTACAATCTAGGCAACGAACGAATCTCAGAACTACTCACACCTCACTTTAATAAATTAACATAATAACAATAAATTTCAAAGACTACCATGTATACAGCATTCTATTTCAACTTCAAAAAACATCTACGAATTGCACAGTCTAGCCGCTATGCACTAATCAACAAAATAAACTAACTAAAATAAATTTTAAACAATTAAAAAAAACAACAACACTAATGACAGAAATCCATACTAAAAAAACAATGAACATAACATTCTACAAAATAAGAACAAGAATAAAATAAAATGCACTTACCATGAATTAATGCTTTTTCGAACAGCAGAAATACCAACTACACACCACCACGTAATCACTATCGTATTTATATGACAGCCAGGCACACTATCCAGAAAATTCATACTATGGTTCACAAACAAATAAAATCACAAATCCCTACCCCTTCATGCACAGCCACTAAAAATAATCTCCCAGACCTTCTTTCCACACCTCCAAATACCCACTGCCCATCAACAGGATAGCCACGATATTTCCTTTTGCCGAACTTCAACTCAACAACTTCCACGATTTTCTCTTTCCCCCCCTATCTTCGCAAACCAACGAGCTCAAGCGAAAGATTTTTCAACGTCAACAGGGTTGCTATACAACACGCAATCGTGCCAAAAGCCAGCGCAGAACACATATCGCCACATTTGGTGAAATTAGGGCATATATCAGAGTTGTACCACTAAAATTGATGAATAAATCTTACTAGCAGAAGATATCTAATAGATAAAATTTACTGAAAGAGGTAGTTAAAAATTTTTCTGGATTTTTTTTTTTTTAAAGCTTCTTTCATTTCCTCTATGGATGTGTTATTGCTGGAATGGAAATGCCTCACAAATTATCTAAAATTAAAATCTAACATTACTTTGCATTTTGGCATATTAAAGACATTTTGATTCTGAGAAATAAACAAGATAGATAATAAATACTATAAAACACTTTTCAAAGCACTCTTTAGCAAAAGCAGAAAAGCTACCGTAATTATTTAAAAATTAATTTCACCTGTCTTTTATATTTTTCATAAGAGTTTTTTCCCTTGTAATTGTATCAGAATATTCAAATGTATATCAGTTTTCTCTTAAAATTTCTCTTTACACTTTTTGTTTCTGAACTTTTTATTCAAATAACTTCTGGCTTTTTGTTCTTACAGAGTGGGATAATTTTTAGACTCTGTATCTCAGAAGGTTTAGAAGGATCTGAAAGCAAGATTTATAGAAAATGTGATAAAACGGCATTAACATTAATGTGATGCCTTCATGGCATTAACATCTAATGAATGGGTTTTATAGGAAATTTGTATTGAATTTCTTGTGAAAACAGAGTTATTTGAATTTTCTGCTTATTATCCTAAAAAGTCTTTCTCTTAACATGTTCATCTTCAGTTTATTTTCTCATCTTTTCATTAGACACAAAGTGAAAAATTGCAGAAATTCTAATCTTGTCGCATGGACATATCTATACAAAGGAATTTTTCTATTAATAAAAAAATTGAAAACCAACAGTTTAAAAGATTCATCTTATATGTCTCACTACATCATATAGAGGTGCAGCTGTAGCTATTTTAAAACTTGGTGGCAATCTGTATGATTCCCAACTTGATCCTTTTTGGGTCCTGTCTGGTGTCTGTCTTAAATTCTAAAAAGTTTGCTAAATCTTAATACCTAACATTTTACTGATCCGTAATCACTAAAATTTTGCTCAGTGCTTCACTAACTTCTAAAATTCTGCTACAGTGGTTTTAGTGCCTGCCCTGACCTTATATCATTTTACATTTATTCTGAGTATTCATAATATTAAAGAAATAAAATTAGCAGTTTCTTCAATACTTTCTAAATACATGCAGTTCTTTGGATTAGCAGAAATTGGCATTGTTCTGTTATCCAGGACTGGGTTTGAAAATGTATATATATATGTATGCATGCACTTTATATATGTAAGTACGAATGTATGTGTGTATACATACACATATAAATGCACATACATACATACGGTCATATGTTCATACATTCCTGAATCTGGTTCTGATAACAGAATAGTACCCTGATATCTTCAATTAAATCTGAAATGTTAAAATGAAGAGGAAATTTATTGAGAAAGAAATTGGTTACATAAAGAAAATTATTCTTCGAAGATATATTGTTAAACATTAACAAATTAGGTCATGAAACAGAAACTAATGGGAGCATTGAATTGCTTTTTGTACAAATAAACTTAGAAAAAATGCTAAAGGGAAGAAAACAGCTATCGATAATTTCATTTATTTCAATTCCCTCTCCATATGCAGAAATGTATACAGGTCCTGATTATCATTTTTGGTTGATCTTTACATTATGGTAACTTGGCGTTTTTTTGGCGAAAATTTGGCGACCAACTCTCCTACAGCAACCCTCTATTTTTTTTTCCCGCCGCCATTTTGTTTTCACGAAGTAAAGACATGTTTCTTTTCTTTTTATCTACTGAACACTTCTTCCAACAATCCACTAGCCGAATTTCACTTATGCTAGAAATTTTATCTAACAAAACTGCTTAATCATGACAAATATTCACTGCAAAATTGGGAAAAAGTGCACAACACCATACTCCTTACGCGTTTTTCAAAATAACACATACACATAAACCATGTACACGCTGACTTATTTTTACTTAAAAAAACATCCCAGAATTGCACAAAAATGGCATTGCGCACACTCTTCACTATATCCATGTACACTGCTTTTTTCTCATAAATTAGAAAAATTTCACGAAAATACATGACAATTTTCTCAATCTTTAAATCCGGTAAAAAGAACATATATGAAATTACCTGATCGCGAAAAAGTATTTACCCTTTCCAAATATGAACATTTCCACATATAAAATAAATAAAATATCCAAAAACTTTTACCTCTAAATCATCTATTACATTATACACGCCACCAACAAATTCATACCGCAAGCATTACAAATACTTAGTGTCAGATATTTAAATTATTTCCATGCACGTTTACTTCAACTTAAACGTGTACCAAATTCCTACAAACATAAAATTCACAAAATAACTATCATTTAATTAAAATATCACTAAACCATGTACACACCGACTTATTTTTACTTAAAAAAACATCCCAGAATTGCACAAAAATGACATTGCGCACACTCTTCACTATATCCATGCACACTGCTTTTTTCTCATAAATTAGAAAAATTTCACGAAAACACATGACAATTTTCTCAATCTTTAAACCCGGTAAAAAGAACATATATAAAATAACCTGATCGCGAAAAAGTATTTACCCTTTCCAAATATGAACATTTCCACATATAAAATAAATAAAATATCCAAAAACTTTTACCTCTAAATCATCTATTACATTATACACGTCACCAACGAATTCATACTGCAACCATTACAAATACTTAGTATCAGATATTTAAATTATTTCCATGCACGTTTACTTCAACTAAAACGTATACGAAATTCCTACAAACATAAAATTCACAAAATAACTATTCATTTAATTAAAATATAATTAAATTCAAAAACACTACTTAAAATATAAATGAGCACATACATTAAATTAATACATACATAAATACCCATTTCGAATTCACTTTAGTTACGGCCATGGGATCCAAAAATTCACGAACACTGTTTCACACAACACAGAATAAAGCCAAATACAAAATTTCCAGATTTTTTCCCGATTTCCCCCCTTTTCCGATTAAAGAACCGTAATTTGTCCATTAATATCACATGACATATCCCATGATCTCTCATTTCCCTCACACAAAATAATGCATAATCGGAACTGAGTACTGCTCACATTATTACCAAAGTCCCAGGTAGTAACCTTTATCGCCTCCAAAATGTCGCCAAACTACCAGTTACCATATTGTAAAGATCAACCTCATTTTTATGCATAATATAAAATTTATCATATCCTGTTTTTGATGGCTGATTTTTTTTTTTTACTGAAATATTTTTCATTTTAAGGCTTTGATGGGTTTTAGAAACATTGAAGTTATTGATATGGATATAATAGAAGTTTCAAATTTGAATAGACAGTTTTTGTTCAGGTCAGTAAAGTTCTTATTTAGATAAATAATTACAATAATGTGTATACATTTGTCTCATGATTTAAAAATATAATACTCTCTTATGATGACTTTAGAGTGAGTGATGTCGGCAAGCCGAAAGCAGATGTGGCGGCTGCTCATATAAATAAACGAATTGAAGGCTGCAATGTTGTTCCGTATCCTTTTGATTTTCCTATTCAACAGTAAATGATGCGATAGTAATTGTAAATATTTACTGTGATGCTTTTCTTTTAATTCTGAAATATATGTTGAGTCACTTTTTAAGTTTGTGTTACTTTGTGAGCATTTGTAATTCATTAGTGACTAAATTTTTGCCAAACTAATACATGAAAGGCAACAGCCATTTTCAAAATGAGGGCGTACTAAGTTCCATTCAGTTTCAGTCAATAAAATTAAAAGCAAGAAATTTACATAGTTTTCAGTCAATAAAATTAAATAAATCAATTAAATTAAAAGCAGTAGCATAATATAATAAATCAATAAAATTAAAAGCAGTAATCAATACAATTAAAAACTGTAGTTTTCAGTCAATAAAATTAAAAGCAAGAACTATTTGTAATACTTACCATTTTCAAGAAATCCTTCTTTTTTGTGCTGCTGTTCTGCTGATGTTTACAGTGATCTGTTTTTACCTAAGACATCAGTGACTTGCTAAAACTTGGCATTGTACAACTTGAACATTGCACATCAACCAAAATAAACATGCTTTATACATACCTGGGTTTCTTTTTGCTGTTGCCCTTGTACACAGTGATCTGGTTTCACTTAGAAGCATCAGAGCTTGGCATCATACAACATGTGCTATGTGCTTTCCTGGATTACCACATAATACTTCTGAGTGATATTGTGGATGGCCAAATAACTGTTTTGGCAACATGTTGCTTTGCTTCATGAATACTTTTCCCACAACTTTGCATTAGGGTGTGGATAATCAGAAACTAGCTAATTTTCTTCAGCAAATATTGATGTTATTTCATCTTGTAGAACATATGTCAAAAGTCGTTAATCCGGACTCGTCGGGACTTCGGCGATTCCAGATTATCGATTTTTCCGGATTATAAATCATCACTTTAAATCTGGTAAGATGGCATGCAGAAATTACAAAATTAAAAATATGAAACCGTAATTTATGAAATAAAGAACAATTATGATCTAAAGGGTATCAAAATTTACAAAAAGAAAAAGCTTAATATTTATTTGTTTACTTTATTAAACATTTCTTTCAATGTAAGTTACTTCGTTTCATGTGATAATACTTTCTCTTTAATTCTATTAAACAGACATAATTTCTTGTTTAGTTACAAAGTTCTGCTGTTCAAGTCCTATAATTGCTGTGTTGAGAACACCGACTAATTTGTCAATTGAAATGTTTTTGTTTTCAATAACCTCTGGGTCACTTTCTTCACTATCGGAAGCGAATTATAATGACGAGGAACTTGATTTAAATCATATCAAAGACAGAGTACGTTGAGATGAAATACTAGACTTAGTAAGGAATTATAAGCCAAATAAAATAAAAACATCTACCCTGAAGATAAGGATAGTGCTGACAGATCTACTTCCAATCTGCAGCGTGAAATTGATAAACAGATTTCGGATTTCAAAACATACTTTCGCTTTGTAGATACAAATTACATATTAGTAAATATATATCAGAAATTCTATTTGACATAATCGAAAGTTCAAGCTTACTTTTATGAAATTGCTCTAACAGTCTGCAAAAAATAATAAGCCGGATCCAATTCGAAGATTAAGGAACAACGCAATCTGCAACATTAACTGAATTTTTAGCTTAGCTTATACCTCCGCTACACATTAAACGCGCATGCGCACAAACATATTCGCAGACGTAAAGGTCTTACGCGCACTCTTAAACGCCTGTGCGCATGCGTGAACGCGATGCATGCGCAGAAAGTTCGTAGCTTTGAGATCCGGATTATAGATCGTTCCGGATTATGGGTGTCCGAATTAACGACTTTTGACTGTATACATATTAAAAAAAATAATAAACTCCTTTATTCACAATGATCAATTATATTATATTCAAAGTTAAATGTTTCCATTTTTTTTTTTAAGAACTACTTAGTTATATGTATGTAATAATTGTTAACTTTCTTATAGTGTTCATTTTCTGATTATTTTACATAATATACAGTAATATTGTCATTCTTTTCATAGGAGATAGGATTTATGTTTTGATGTTGACAGAAGGCCCACTGAGTTTAATTTTACATCTATTTAATATAAACGGGTATAAAATTAAAATTCAAGATCCTTCTATGAGTCACAAAGTGTCTTATATTATAATGGTCAGTAACCTTTTTCTTTAATTCGAAAATTCTTTAAACAGTTTTACAGAAATATAATTTGGCACTACTGTAATATACAGTTGGTTCTATAAATAGTTTTTAAACATTTAGTTGACTATTTAAGTAAATGTGCTTCGAATTAAAATAAATTTATGCACAGTTCATTTTAACGAACAGTTGTTAACGTTTAAGTATCGGATTCTAAGTATGTCTAATGAATGTTATCTTAGAAAGGCAGATTATTTCTTTCTTGTATTTGTTTAATTTCCTATGAATTCCTGAATTTGCCTAAATTGGTGCAAGCATACTTGCTGAAATGCTTTTTTGTTTGGAAAATTTTTCTTAAATTCTGCCTTAGACATTTTAAGAAGATTCAAGATTTTGATGAATCTTTCTACCGAAGTAAGGGTTTTTTTTTTTTTTTTTTTTTTTTTTTTGTATATCACATTGTAAATTTTGATTCAGCAATAATTTTCACATGCAACTGAACACTAAGTTTAAAATTTTAAATTCTTCCGAATGTAAAGCTATAACGATTTAATTCTAACAGAAATTGGGATGCGCAAAATAAAAATTATGTAGTGTACATAAATCTCTGCATTTTATTCTTGGAATATATATAAACGTTTTTAAAAATGAAGCATAATATTTTAAAATTTGAATAGCATTTTTGAAATTATTTTATACACAGCATTTAATGAACTATTACTCAAATTGTGTCATTTAGTTTTAGTTACAATTATTTTAAAAAGTACAATATTAGGTTAATACATTAAAGTTGCTACGGTGACATTTTATTTATAGAAAGATGCATTGCTTACACTATAGAATTAAGCAGTTTATTACTGATTGATACTTTTTTGCTCTGCATTTGAGATTCTTTTAAAAAGTAGAATTAATGTAGATTTTTTTTTTTTTTTCATTTGCTACTGTTGTTTGTAACTAAATTCTGTAGTGTAAGCAGGATTTTTGGCTAATCTTTAGAATATGGTAACAGGTAGTTTGGCGACATTTTGGTAAGGCGATAAAGGTTACTAGCTAGGACTTCAGCAATAATCTGTGAAGTAACAGTTTGAATCACAGATTATTTTGTCTCAGAGAAACGAAAGATCATGAGACATGTAATGTGACATTTTCCGGAAAATTTCAATTGTAATTTTAGCTATTAAGCATTTAGAAACAATTTCGCTGCTTAAGTGCAGAATTGCTCATTTATTTGTTTGGCACTTTTTACAAGAGTAAGAAGAATTGGATTTTTGTCAATTTTCTTTGACTTTTTAAGTGGAAGTAGGTCGATGTGTACATAGATAAAGTAAAGAGTGTGCGCTATGCCATTTTTGTGCAATTTTGGGATGTTTTTTTGAGTGAAAATAGGTCGACGTGTACATGGTTACCGTGTATGTGCAATTCTTAAAAACGTGGCAAGTAATTTGCGATTCTGCACTTTCTCCCTAATCTTCGTCATGATTAAGCATTTTTGTTCCATAAAAGTTCTAGTATAAGCGTAATTCGGCTAGCAGATTGTTGGAAAAAATGTTGAGTAAAAAAAAAGAAAACATACTTTTACTTCGTGAAAACAAAATGGCGTCCAAAACAAAACTAGCAGGTTGCTGTAGCAAGGTTGGTCGCCAAATTTTCGCCAAAAACTCGCGACGTTACCATAATGTAAAGATTCACCGGATTTTTTTTAAATAGAAGTTATTTCATTCTTGTTACATACTGTATCCAGTTCTAAGTTAATAGTTATTTGAATCCCAGTTAGCGCATATCTGATTTTTTACCTTTCCTCTTTCAAAGAGTATAATATACATTGCAGCCAGACTACAATAATCTTTCACCACTTGAGTTTGATGACTAGGTCTCCTTCCTCTCCAACAGATCTTTATAAAGGGGAATTATAAAAAATTTTATACTTCTTCATTGCATACCTTTGTGATGTGAGTGGTAATATGTCCTGCTAGCAATCGAAAGATTTTGAATCTCAGCATAGGCATAGCTGATTTTTTTGTCTTTCTTTCTTTGAAAAGCCCAATCAATTCTACAAAGCGATGCCCTTTTAAAATATTGTTGCTGAATCAAAGATTTTATCAGTAGTCAATTGTCAAACAAACGTTTATTACAAAGTAAAAGTTACAGTGGCCCCTTGAAGTGTTAAAACCATTCCGCTTCAGTTTGTATGTATGGGAAATATGTAATAGTTCAGGGAGTTATATTTTAATGAGCTATTGATTTTTTTAAAAAATTTTGTAAGATCGTCATGTATCTGGAAGCCAAGTTAAGTTCAACAGACCTCATTAGACAGATTAGTGATTTATTGCTGAATCTTAAAATCTCACAAAGTAATGAAGAAGGTTTTAAAACAATCTTTTTTATTTAATCTGAATTTTTAACATAAAAGGTACTATGGTGTAAAATATAAAATAACAGTCAATTAGATTTAAACATTGATAAAATAGTTTGAGACTACACAGGTAAATAAATAAGCCATAAACTGCCTGAATTTCTTTTACCAGCATGTAAGTTTAAAGTATCAGTTGCAAGAGAATGCAAAAGTGGGATTAATCACTTCTAGACAGAACTGGCAAAATTCTAACAGCACAACATCAATGTCAGTAACTTTAACCTTTAGCTCATATACTCTAAGAGTTAATTTGCATTCTGGTGTATACAGAAAAAAGTTAAAGTACAGATTAAAATGATAACAAATGATTAATTAATGTAAGAACCTTACATTTTGATAAAAATTTATTTGCTGCACATTAATTAATTAAACTAGACCAATTAAAAATCTGTTGTCTGTCATAATGTTTGCAGTTGTCAATTTCCACTCGCTCTATTCCCAAACAGCTTATTTTAAATGACATGCTATATTACAAATTTTTTAGACCATTTTCAGTTATGTTGTATATTAATAATAAGCCTGAAGTTATATTATATTTGAACAATAACAGAATCTGTTTTTCATACCCAGAATATTCTTATTACTTTTTTTCCTTTCAGAATTTCATATTATTGTTTGTGGACTTGATTCTATTATTGCTAGAAGGTGGATAAATGGAATGCTTGTAAGTTCATTTAAAATAATGTGTGCGATATTCCAGTGTTTTAATATAGCAGCCTATTAATATAATGAATCCATCTAAGAAAACAAGTTGAAGCATTTCTTGATTAATTTGATGCTGTATCTCTTTATTAGCATTAAAATTCTAGTTGTTTAGCACGCTCTGTCTTTAAAAGAAAGAAATTCCATCATAGATCGGAACATTTATATAGTTATATATATATAACTGCATTATTGTAGTTGTACATCCTTTGTGTATTTTTAAATTCCTTCTATTAGCTCACACTCTCCTTATATCTTGTTCAAATTTTCAATCATTGATAAAATGCTTTTTATTCATCCACTTAAGTTCATACACTTTTTAAAATTTGTATTGGATAGCGCTTGATGTTAATGCAGTTTTTTCACATTTTTTTCACATATCACTTATTTATTCCTGTTTATTGGAACTAAAGATACACTGTTTTTAATATGACTTGTAATATTTATATTTGTAATATGACTCAAAGTGTTAATATTTTTTATATTATTATATTCGAGCCAATATCAGTGCAATTCTCCGCCAAACGCAGCTACGGTACTACTCAACAAAGAATGCTACCATTAATACTATCATGGGCAATAACAGTACATAAGATGTAAGGTAGCACTGTAGATAATGCAGTAATATATCTAGGACGAAAACTTTTCACAGCAGGTCAAGCATATCTCGCCTTGAGTCGTGTGAAATCATTAGATGGAATATTTAATTGAAGAACTCACTGGAAAGGTTCCTTGCAATAATGAAGCATTACAAGAGATGGATAGAATGAGAAATTATAGACCACGATAAGCTTTGTAAATTAGAAACAAAAAAATGTTAATAAAAAGTAACTAAAATAAAAATTTTCTTTGTTGACCTAAGTAGGAATTGACTTGAAAAATTTTTGCTATATTACTTGTTTTGTAAGTAATATCCTTTTCTGTATGCATATAACAATTATGTACTTAGTTTCAGAATTGGTAATGGATCTATAAGACAATGTTTCCGTGCTAAACATAGTGTTGCGTGTGTACGGGTTCGTTACGAAATGATTGCACAAGTCCGATAAAAAAATGAAGAAAATTTATTATTATCACAACAAATATGATTAAATGCCTTCAAATAATTGTGTAGTATCACAATATATCACAGTAGTTATCTTCTAACTACTCAAACGTTCAATAGAGCTTAATTCAAAACACCTAAAGAAAGCTAATCCGCAAATTCGCTACAATCAACAAGATCAGTTTTCTAAACAACAACAAACTAAGCAACTAGTACGAACTGAGAAGTTTTCCTCCTTTTATAAGATTTTAAAAATCACGCGCGAGAATTTTCTAGTACTTTCTAGAAATCAAAAAGACATATTTATTTATTTAATGTTAAAGCACATGCTCTTGTATTTTCAATTTTTCCGGCTTAGCTTTCTTTTAATATTCGTCACACGCTGCACTGTGCGGGAAATAAAACCATTTAATTTATAATTGAACTAAATTAGCTTTTTAAATACCATATTCGTAACAATAGTCTTTGAATTTTCAGTACTTTTCCATTTCACCGGTGCAAATCTCGCCAAGTAGTGGCGACAACATACAGTATACACATAGAAAATGTTGACAAATGTTAGTTCTAAGGATTTTTTATTTTGAAGGCATAACCATTTTAATATAATTTAAAATTTGTAAAAAGCCAATAAATTTGTAAAAAGACATTAATTTAAGAATTTATTATGCTTTCATGGTTCAACAAGATGATTCTCCGGTTCATATCATGTGACCCCAAGTGATCTTATCTCATGTAAACTACGCTACAAAAATCTAATTCTCTCAGTAATTATCTACATTAATTTCAAGTTAAATCTTAATTTGGAATACAAGTTTAAATGCAAGAATTATTTCACTTCATACAAATAGCTTATTCAGAAATTATGTAAAACCCCAGTGCTTTACTTAGCTAGCGTATTCCCATTAGAATTGATGAATTTAACCCTTGACTTTGCCTTTTCTGTATTTTTGCCTTCGAGGGAGCGGTGTGATTGCATTCTAATTGACTTTATTACCACGAATGGTATTGTATAAAATTATAAATAATAATGTATTATTATTCGTATTATTTATATTATTTTTATAATAATATAAATTTATAATAATATAAAAATAATATAAATAATACGAATAAAATTAGACATCTATCTGATAGACACTATCTGATAAAAATTCTATGTAATTGTATGCCAGTATTGAAACGAACAATAAATCTGATAAGAAATGGCTGCAACTTGTTTTGAAAATGAGGCGTAAAAGGTTACTAGCGAGGATATTCCAAAGTACCGAATTTTCAAAGTTTTTGTACTTGAAAAATTTCCTATATTTGGCCAGACCCCCTTTTGTTTAAGTTTGTTTGTTTATTTATATATTTAACAAAAGTAATTGAAAGCATTAAATTGATAAAAATGTTGTATATTTAATGAAGACTCTAGATCTTTTTGCTCATAAATTTCCAAATACACTTTGTCAACTTTATTTGTCAATTTACAAAGCCACCATTTTTTTAATAAACTATGTTTATTCATTAGTTATGACAATTTTCTCAAAAAAAAAAGTTCCATACTTGTTCCTTCTGCTGTTGATGTAATATATGCTATATAATTATCAAAATTAATTTATTATTAATATTTAAACTGAAAAGCTGTCAAAGTATTTCTAATCTAAATCTTGATTTCAGCATCTTGCAGTTATTACTTCAGTTTTTAAATAAAACTGTGCCATAATAGTCCATGATGAAGCAGTGGCAATTGGATGTTATTTCAGTGACTATTAAGCGAAGCAGCTTTGTTCTTTTTTTTTCCTTCTCCCTTATACAGCTAGATCCCAGTGATTTAGTCTCTGTTTGTAATAAATTAGCAGCTTGTACTTCCAGCTGCCTAAAATAGTTAACTATTAAAAAGAAAAAAGAAATATGTAATGATTTTAATGAATCTAGCTAGTTTAATTTCGGTAGTCCAGCTAATAATTAATAGCAACAGAGATAAAGAACTGTGTCTATTGTTTTTACATCACTAACTTTGTTAATCAAAAACAGACAGATTAAATTTGAAAGAAAAATTAAATATTTTATTCTTTACTAAATGGCAACAAACTGTTGTATGGAAGATAAAATTGTTTTATATCGACTATTGGCATATATTTCTTTTGAATAGCTGAGTTCTTTACTAAATTTAAAATATAAAAATCTTACTCTTTACTGAGTGGCAAAACATTTCTTTTAAATTGGAGAAATTTTCTGATTAAATTTGAAATCTTTGCTGAATGGAAACAAATTGCTTTTAAATTCTCAAGTTCTATCAGTATGTCATTAAATTCGAGCCAGATATAAAATAAAAAAAAAAATAAATAAAAACCTCTGGCTTTGATGTATATATGCTCAGATGGAAGACTACATGTGTTGAAAATTTGGTGGCTGTCATTGCTGACATTTTCTCACAATGCAAGGAACATGCATGTAGATTCTTCATTATTTAATAACAGAGATGAAAAGTAACATTACCAAGTAACTCTGAAGGATAAACTAAAACTTATACTTCAGAAAATGACTAATTAAACTTTTAGTAATTAATCTTTTTGAAAGAAATCGGTGTATGCCATCATGCACAAATTCATGTTTTTTCAATTTTTTTCTTGTGCTTTCATAGTTTATTTATATTTTATTTATTTTTTTAAAGATGTTTTCATTTGAGTTTCTACATAGTCATGTTTTGATATTTTTTATTTGTATTTTATTGTATTCTGTTTTTAAAAATATAAAATAAAACCAGCGAGTGCTGTATTGTGTCACACAAACATGATTTTTCATAAAGAAACTAATCTAACCTTTTAAAAATAGAACCTTATTTAATCATTAAGAGAATGCATAGTTATTTATTTTGTAATGTGAAATTAATATTCTCAAGGTTGGCATCAATTCTGAAGAAATGGAGCAAGATGGATGCTTAATCCCTTTGATAGATGGGGGTACTGAAGGTTTCAAAGGAAATGTGAGAGTAATGGTACCAGGAATGACAGCTTGCATCGACTGCACTCTAGATCTCTACCCACCACAGGTACTGCTTAGTAGTTTACATTGTTCTCATATGAAGTGGATATAAGGCTTAATTTCTGAAATTGAAAGTTTTATAACCATATGGAAGGTAATTAGAAATGTAAAAAAAGAAACAAAGCAGTAAATAGTAAGCATATGAATAAAATATTAAAGCATATCAGGTCTTCCAAAAATTGTGTAGTTTATCATATTGCAGCATCTTTTCTTGATAAGGAATAACTTTTATCTAAGTGGATGCTTAAATACAGACGTTTCTGATCATTTTACATAGTAACATGCTTTGTGATTTTTTTTCATTGCATTGTAAGAATGAGGAACTTAAATTATATTACCCTCTTTTACGAATGTCACCCTGAAATTTTTGAGATACTCGTAGACTTTAAAAGTTATGAAATTTTAGATATGTTCAAAATGGTCTCTTCCAGCACTTCTTTAGGGGAATTTTCATAAAATGACTCAAGTTATTCATTTCTTGGAATAGATGAAAAAAAATGCATTTGTAATCTCATCAGTCTCATCTTTGGAATGAAAATAATATCTGTGTATGTCCTTTTTTAGATTAAAAAATAACCATAAGTCACACATAGCTAGATCAGGTGAATAGGGTGGATGTTCTATCATTTTATATGTTTTTGTTCAAGAAACTCAACTGTCAATCTTGCTGAAAGAGAAGATGCATTGTTATGATAGAGCATGAATCCTCTTCACATTCACTTCTTGAAGAATTTCTGGAAGATACTTTGTGGTGTACCAGTTAGCTGTGACTGTCTTCTGTCCTTCCAGTTTGATGGCTTTGACCAGTCCTGTACTTCTGAAGAAAATGGCATACATTACTTTTTCATGATATATTTTTTTTTCACCGTTGTGGGTGTGGGATCATCTTCAACGACCCATACTTAACTTTCTTGATGTGTTGGAACATCAATAAATGATAGGTACATTTCATCACCGGTTGCAATTTTAGGAATAATGTGGTGGCCACCATCTTAAAATAATTTAAGGTTTTTTTTACTGATTGTAACACAGTCCTTTTTTTGGTGCTCAGTTAAATTATGGGGAATGCAACAGGGGACTATCTTTTTCATATGCAATTCTTGAATAATTTTATGTATGGTGGTGGATTCAATGTTAAGTTCCTTCTGTATCATTTGGTAAGTGCAGCGATTATCATTGATTAACATTTTTCACACGACAGACACATTATATGGGATTACTGTTGGTAGTGGTCTCTTGTGTATTCTTCATTCTGAAGAGAGTGTGACCGATCTTAGTGAAATTCTGTAAACCATCTGAATACGGTAACATGAGATGCACCTGCATTTCCAAATGCTAATTGTAGACGTCAAACTCGTTCTTCTTGATTGAATCTCACTTTAAAAAATCACAGAAAATCATAGGACGATAATGTTCTTGCATTATCTCCATTTTTCCTTCTGCCTAAAATTTATGCTACAGTAAACTACTTGCAATTGTCCAATAAAAAATTGTATGCTTGGTTAAAATAGCTCATATTTTCAAATCTAACTGTTTATTTTTTTGTCACTTATTGTCTGCACGTATCTCAAAAATTTCAGAATGACCTCCGTATTTTCAAAAAGGGGAGAAAATGTTAGTCAGGCAACTCATAAAATTTGCATTGTATATAGACAAAGTGCTGTTTCTGATAATACAGTTTGAAGATGGTTTAAGAAGTAATCGCAGAAATTTCAGCCTCAAAGATGATGTCCGCTGTGGATGATCATCCTCTGTAAACAAGGGTCTGTTAAAGGAAACTGTTGTTGAAAGTTTTGTGCTCAGGTACTAACAGAGAGATTAAATGTTCCAAAAATACTACAATATATGATTATTTGAAAAAGGTAAACAATCATGATGTAAGGGTGCTCCTTGCTTTAAACAGAGTAAAATATACTTGCTTGAGTTTTGGCATGTGGTTCTTTGCTGAAAAGAAATAAAGAAGGCCCTTTTTTGAAGCAGAAATAATGCTTTGGTGAGATTATGAAGGAATTTTATACTAACGAATTCTATGCCGATGAACTAGAATTGTTGACATCAAATCAAACAGTAAATTTGAAAAATTATTCTTCCCAAATGGCAGTTTTAAAAGCAGAAATCAAAGAAAGTGTGTAGAATTGACTAATTAATTGAAGTTGTTCAGAACTGACTTCCATCATCACAAAGCTGGACTCTGCATTTTGATGAATGTCAGACAAAAAGACTATTTGACTATGGATGGAATGTTTTGTATCACCTCCCATATCCACCAGACCTCTTCCCCTCAGATTTTCATCTCTTCAGAACACTTCAAAGTTCCGTGAGCAGCCTGGAATTTACTTCTGTGGAGAATATCAAACAGTACCTTTATATGAATAAATCTGATGAATTCTTAATATGAATAAACATGGTGATGTTTTAAAAAAGAAATTTTCCATATGCCAGAGAGATGGTAGAAAGTCATAGGACAAAATGGTTTTTATGTGATTCAGTGAAGTTTTTTATGTTTTTGTACTCCTTCATCTGTATTTATCTTTAGAAACCCAAAAGAATTTTTTGCATGATCCAGTATTACAAATTATAATAGGTAAACTGAATGTGTCATAAAATTAAATGAACTGAATCAGAATCTGATAAATATAGCAACTTTAATATACAAAATGGCATTAGAAAGAATCTGAGAATTCAAATAGTATTTTCTTCTATTTGAAAACCACGAACTGTAATTTGTCTTAGGAAATCTTTATAATAGTTGTCATGCAGGGTTTTACTGTATAGTCTGTTTATATTAGAACGTACTGTAAGTTGATATCAGTACTTTTCAAAAAATAATGCAATAATAATAATAGTTATTATTTTTTTATGGCCAGGTGCTTATTTAATATTCATTACCTTTGCGCCACAACAAAGGCCATTTCATTATGGAAGCACTTAATTGGTGGACACCATTGTGAAGGGGATGTATAGTTACAACCATGCCTTCTCCCTGCGATAATTAATTTTTAAATTGCAAATAGGACACATAACTGATGTGCTTTTTATATTCTGTCATAATAAACAAAATAATATTGTGAATAGAAATCAGAAGCAATATTAAAATATCAGATATAAAATTAACCTTTTTTTAATGCAAAATATGGTTGCATCCTATGGTTGATCTATGAAGTCATGGAAAATAGTTAAAAAATTATGAGGCATGAAGGGGTATATTTTGGGTTTAGTTTGTTAATATATAATGACTGTCTGGAGGATAGGATTAATAGAATAAAACAGGAGATGCCTATGTGGAAGATTTTTTTTAGAGAAACTGGCTTGTAGTAATGTTATACATGGAGAAAATCACACAGATATCTGTTTAGGTAGCATGCTTAATGGAATTCAAGCCTGGTTTGAATTAGCAGTACAGTGAAACCTTTGTTCACTGTGCTTAATTTGTCCTAAAGGTTGTTTATCAACCAAAATGTTCATAAGTTTAAATCATTTTCCTCATAGCAATTAATGTAAAAGAGATAAATGCATTGCTGGACCACAAATGGTTACTTATTTAAACTTTACAAGAGTATTTTGTGCTTATGTTTATAACCCAAAACTGATATCAATAAGATATAAAAAAGATAAATGCACTTTTAAGCAGATAAAATAGATAAAAATTTAATTTTATTCCACTTGTAAAAGGGAAAGGGTATGAAGCAGACAGCATAAATGGAAAATGATGGGGAAAGTGTTAATCATGCTATATTTCTTTCCGTAAAAACATCAGATCTCTTTAGGAAGCACCTTTTTTCATTTTTTGCTTTGTTTTTTAAGAGGTATGTGACTCTCTTCAAGAGGCGTTGAGGTTCTGTTTCAGTCAAAACTTTTCCAATGAGATATTTTTTCTTGCCTATACTTTAAAGTGTTTCTAAAGTGAGACATGCAATTGTCATCGAAAATTCTTATGTTATTGCTTTAGCAAGGTGATATTGTTACATGAAAGCTTTGCATCTTATCCCATTTTGCACAAATTTTGCAGATGAGTTCTTCCACATTTGCCTTTTGTTGCTGTTGCTGAGGTTATTGAAATTCTTTCTTGTTGAGCTCATTTCAATATCTCTCTTGTTATTTCTGCATGTCTTCATTGTTAATTTCCTAGCTTAAGTTTTGTGTAGAGATTCAGTATAGGCTTAAAAAAGTCTCTAAATGTTAGAGTGCTTTATGTCTCTGCCTGTAATTCTGGGGGCCATAAATTCTTCCAGGCCACAAACTGTGATCTTATAATTCACAGACTTCCAAAACTTTGTTAATGAGACTGAAGCAATGGAAAATATTAAGGAAATTGGATGTCCCTGAGGGTTAATTATGCGGTATAGACTTCAAAACACCTTTGAAAATCATATGTTGCCAATTTGAACATTTTTCTAATAAGCAATGGAAAATATTAAATTCATGTTCCTGAGGGTTAATTATGTGGCATAGGTCACTTCAAAACAGCTTTGAAAATCATATGTTACCAATCTGAGTGTTTATAACTTGAGATATCATTCCTTATTAGGTTTTTTACTGAATTATTTCCGAGGTGAGGTGTTCATGATCCAAAGTTTCACAATATTTGGTAGCCTTGTAGCAATGATAGATGTAGAATATTTTTAGAATCCAGTACTAAAGGAGATTAAATGCATTACATAAAACCTATTCATGCTGAATAATTTTATCCATCTTAATTTAATAATTATTTATATATTTTATGTGCTTCAACTTATATTTATTTTACGATATATTTCTTAAACGTGCAATATATAATAATTTATCTTGGAAGCAAAAATATCAAAAAATTTAGATACGGGATTAATTTATATTCTTATGTTTCTGTTATTTTATTAATAAGATTATTTTATCATTCTTTAATATTTTTCCAAAGGAAAAGTTAATAATGCATAAATTCAATTATAGCATTTATTTAATTTTCAATATTTTTTATCACATGAAACACAGGCCTATGCATGATTACATTAAATATAGTTTATTATATTTAGCAGTATATTTGCTTAAAATGTTTTCAGGTAACATTTCCTCTTTGTACCATTGCCCAAACTCCTCGCCTACCTGAACACTGCATAGAATATGTGAAAGTGTTGCTTTGGCCAAAAGAAAGAAGTATGTTAGATTCTTGCTAATTTTAATTTCTGATAATCTAACCTAACTTATGAGGTGTGTTTAGTGTTGGGCAGGTAGTGAGCGGGTGATTATAAACCAAATTGTTAGAATATTATAGCTGCCAACTCTTTCAGTTTTTAATTTTTTAGCTTTTACCGAGGAAAATGTTTCTCTGTAATAAATGAAATTTACTGAATTAATGAAATTTAAATTATAAAAATTGCGTTCTCCCACTTCTAGTGAATTTCAGAATAATTTTTGCTATTAAATTTTATTTCGTCTGAATTCTATTATACTTTTCTTAGCACATTTTATGATGTTATTAAATTTTATTTCATCTGAATTCTATTATACTTTTCTTAGCACATTTTATGATGTTATTAAATTTTTCTTATTTAATATCTTATAATCTTAATGATCCGAATAGTCTCAATCCCCTGTTAGACATATATAGAATTTTATATGAAGATTGAAGCAATGTTTAATGAGCTAATATTTGTATTTAATTTTGTTTTACTTCAATATATTGTACATTATAAAGTTTGTCCACACAAATACTAATTATTTATATTATTTTTTATCATTTCTTACTTAATAAAGCTTTCCCTCCGCAGGATTTCATGGGCATAAAAGGGAGAGTATTAAAAAATGAAATTCGCCAAAAAACATAGACTATCTTATTAAATATTAATATATTTTTATAGTGAGCATCATATCATAAATAGTTCATTTACTTGAATCACATATTATCCAGTTAATATCAGTCAGGAGTTCTTTTTGAAATGGCATCATGCATGGCATTAGGACCTTCCAGTTTTTGAGCAATAAATCTTCTGATTTTTCAGATTTTAGGGTAGCAGCTGTGGAATATGTATAATTCTGATATTTTAGTTTTATCTCTTTGATATTTTAAGTTTATTATTTTAAATATTGTTTAACCAGAGTTTTAATCATTGTGACCATTGTAAAGTAATGAAAGTAATTAATTTAAATGCAGCAGGTGATAAACCAATCTTAAGGTGATCAACCAATGTTCGAGGCAATTTTGGTCTTAAGACCATCTTAGTGAAGATGACCATCAGTGCCAACAGTTGCCAGTTTGTATGATAGATTCAATGCATTCAGACCTATAAGAAACTATAAGAGAAGACCATGAAAAGTAGAAGGGTGATATATCGATTACATGAAATAATCATAAGTTAGAAGGAAGTTAGTAAAAAAGTCTGAAAGGGTTTAAATTTCAATGGCCACCCAAAAGGGCTTTTTTTTTTAAGTTTAATATGGTTTATCAGTAGACATTACTAGTAGGGATGGCCCAGGTGGAATGGTGAAACATTTTATAGGACATATGAATGGACGTTTAGATGAAACATTATAATATCTTAAGTATATTTGAAAAACAAAACATTATAATATCTTTAGTATATTTGAAAAACAACAACAACAAAAACAAAAAAAAAAAAAAAAAAAAAAAAAAATTATAGTTTCAATCTAAAAAAAAATTATGTAGATATATCATCAATTAAATGAATTTTTATTTTAGTCAATTTGAATCAAAAGTAAAAAAAATAATACTTTTAAGAACGGCATCTATTGCTTTTAAATAGCTTAATTTGTTAATCCATAGCAGGCAGATTAAATTTGAAAGATCTTACATTTTGTCAAATGGCAAGAATCGAATGAAAAGTGAAACAATACATTTACTGTAGATAGCATTTAAAGTGAATCGATGCAAAATCATGTTTCGAGACTAATGACCCCTTTAAGATAATAAGTCACATATATTCTTACACATTTGCTGCCGATCACACGCCAGTGCATGATGTGTTGTTTTTGCTGAAGAGCCAAACATGCACTACCGTCTGGCATGGAGTGATGTTACAGGTGCCCAGTCATCACCAGAACTGTTTATACCAGCTAAACTGCCCGCAGTTTTTTATCCAGCATTTCTCGAGCTTTCTGAATAGTTGAACTTTTACTGATATTTCATTTGATCAGGTAATTATATTATTTTAAAACATTGTTTAGGTGTGAAAGATTTTAAATATATTTGCTTAGTTATGAAATTATTATTAATTAGGATGTGATTGAAACTGAGAATTTTATAAATTTGATTGAGAGAGAATGAGAATTAATGAGAATTTTCTTCCACAATAATGTAAATTAACAAGTAACTTAACCATTTATTATAGAAACAAAAAATAAAATATTTACAAAGAACATAAATTATAGAGCTGCATATCCTTATTCTATAGCAACTCCAGAATCACTGCATAACTTTCATTTTTTTTTCCACTAAGCATTGTGGAGTTCAAAGTTCAAAACTTTGGAGGAGAAGAATGAAGACCCTTCAATCAGTCCAAACTCAAAATGAGAGAGAAAATTTTATAATTTTCTGGTCTGTTAAAGTAATTGTGAATCATGTAGAATGTGATATAATATTTGCATTTCAGAGGATATATCTATTGATGGAGATGATCCGCAGCATGTAAGGTGGATATATGAAAAAGCCTTAGAGAGAGCTGCTGAATATAATATACCTGGGGTAACTTACAGATTAACACAAGGTTTGTAATTTAAATCTATAATCTTTGTGCTTGTTATGAGTTCAAAGAGGCAAAGTATAAATGAAATTGCATACTATTCCGTTATCGGGACCGTAAAAATTCACGAAATTATAGTTGATGCCAAAAATAATTATGGTAACCCTAATGAAAGGAAGGAAGCATAATAGTAAATAACTGTTAAAAAATATTAGTTTAATTTAGACAATAGGTTAACATTTATGGTCGACAGTAAAATATTTGGAGCATCTTGCAATTTATAAGCTTCCCAGCAATTTTATGCTTACAGCAGTCTGATTTATATGCATTCTAGCATTCAGTATAAGTAATACTTCCTTCTGCAATATTTTCCCTTATGACACTTAACAAAGTTTTTGTCTGTTGGTATAGAACTGTGGCTAAAAACATTCATTTGATTCTGTATATAATGTACGTACTTCAATAATCTTGTCTCATCAGCGGATTTTCTACATAGGCCTAGTGATTTAAAGCTGTTGCACACACCTTACGCATGTAACTGTTCCAGTCTTCAGTAGTATTGTGATTGATCTTTGGCTGTTCACAAATTCAATAGATATCATTTTCTGACACCAAAAATAAATGAATCAAACAGTTGTAAGGAAGGGGATTTTTGATCCTTTGAACCAATTTAGTGTTTTTAATTCTTTCTTCTCATCAATATTTTTCCTGCAGCGCAATTTCATTGTTGAGCTATCGATAAAATACTTTTTTTGTGATTGTTCAAGCATAATTTGTTATCATGAATGATGCTTTTTCTCTGAAAATTTTCTATTGCAGACTTTTCATTCTTTGGCAGTTTCCAAATTGTTCGATCCACAAAGCTATAAAAATTTTTTAAAATTAAACTAACATTTCAGTGGTTAACAATCTGGAGCTGTATAAATTTAATTCTGGAGCACAATCTAAATTCATGCATGTTTAGAGAAATTTATATTTACATGCAATTTGGAATTAAATTGGCACATTTGCAGGATTTAATTATTTTGTGCATATATTTTGCTGCAGTTTCATATGATCCCCGTAACAGAGTTGTACCTGAAATTAATACTTAAAAGAATCTAAAATAATTTATTTCTTTGTTTAATGTACTATATAGATTGATAATCTGTATTCAATAAATGATTTGTTACTTTTAGAGTTTTTTTTTTTTTGTGCATTAGATTTTCCCCCTTACAGTTGTAATTATTTTCTGAGTTCATTTTAAAATACACATATTAATCAAAGTTTTGTAATTTCTTAAAATTTTAGGTGTCATCAAAAATATTATTCCTGCTGTAGCTTCTACTAATGCTGTGATTGCAGCAGTCTGTACAACAGAAGTTTTTAAATTAGCCACAAAGTATGTAATCATTGTATTTCTATTGAATATTTTTGTGTGTACCGTCAAGTAATTTGCATCTTTATAGCCCCCTCCCCCCAAAAAAAACTGTAAAAATTTTTAAAAATAAAACTTAGATATAAAATGCATATTGGCAAAATCTATTTGTTGGATTACACTGGTTTCCAAAAGCTAAAGAAAAATTACAAAAATAGTGATAACCCATTCAAAAATAAGCCAATCCATATAAAATCTGAATATGTTGTCGAATAAATATTGCCAAGAAAAACTGTTATACGCAAATTAGTGTAGCTGCAATTGAAATACCTCATCTGGGAGGAGCATAAAATTTCAAGTTTCAGAGCAAGTCTGCAAATTTTGCTGTGATATTGAGGTAAGAAATCTGGGACAGCCAATTTGTAACAATGCCCCAGGCATCATTTGCCAGAAGAACTGCTGTGGAGAGCTGTTGGAAGACTAGAGGCAGGATAAAGTCAGGGAGAAGTGGCCAGATGGCTAAACGTGTGTCCTTCTGTGGTTGATAGATTTTAGAAACAATTTCTAACCACAGATTCGAATCCAGGAGGTACAACCAAGGACGGAGAACTGCTGCAATGAGCTCTGATGACGATATTTGTTGTTATGCACACGCAAGAATAGAGACTCAATTCCAACTCAACTCAGATCCTCCCTTGTTGTAACCACCGAAAGGCTGGTGTTAGTGCCAGCTGTGAATAAAAAGCTTCATGAAGGAGGTTGGTATGTGACGCGATCAGACATTTGTGTGCCACTCACATCACGTCATAGAGGGGAACATTTGAGGTGGGCAGGGCAACATGTCCACTGGACGTCTGATCAGTGAAGGTCTGTTCTCATTGAATCCAAGTTTAGCCTGCAAAGTGACAGTAGGCATTATTTGATTTAGAGAGAACTTGGAACCCGTTACCACCCAAACATCCTTGAAAGAGATGCATACGGAGGAGGCAGTGTCTGTATTTGGGATGGTATCTCTCTGGGTGGATGCACAGACTCTATGTCTTTCCACATGGAACCATGAATGCTCAGGCCTATAGAGGTGGCATCTTATCTTGATGCTTATGTGTGCACTTATGCCCGAGCAATAGTTGATAATTTTCTGCTACAAGACAACAATGGTAGACCGCACAGGGCTCGCATCATGGAATGATTATCTTCAGCTGCAAACAATTTAGTGCATGCAGTGGCCAAATCGATCACCGGACCTGAATCCCATCATGCATGTCTGGAATGCTTTAGGAAGATGTATAGCTGCTCTCTATCCTCTTCTTCAAACCTTTGACATGCCCGCTAGTAACTGCTTTGCAAGAGCAGTGGCTCTTACTTCCTATGGAACTGATAGACTGCATAACTGACATGCAATGCTGTCAATTATACAATCTCTTTACACATTGCTGTGTGTATTGTATTTCTTCTAGGGGAGATCATACTCTATTGAAGGTAAATTTTCTATACTAAACTGACACATCCCATTATTGGAGAAGTTGACAAGAATCAGCACAATGTTTCTAAATTTTGCAGCACTAGTTTCGATGGTTTAAATACAGAACAATCAAAATTAGTCCTGCAAAATTTGCAAACATGCTAATTCTTGTTGTTTAACTTTTCCAAAATCATTATTTTAACCTAAATATAACTGCATATTATTTAAACCTAAATGACGAATCCGATTTGTTCATTTTATACATATGCTAATTTCTATAACACCATAATTATTTGGTAATTTTTTCATGCTGTTTTATACCTTACTATATGCTGTATATTGTGGGTCAATTTCATTAAATTCTATATGCAACTTTTTGAATAATCTTCATTTTTGTAATTTTTCCTTAATTAATGATAACCAGTGTACAAATGAAAATATAACTTCTTGTATTGGTACTCGAAATTATAATTAATGAGTAAATTGATGATACTCACATATTAGCCCATCAGTCGTGAAACTGTCGCCATGCAGTGTGGTTTAATGCAAATTATGGATAAATTTTATGTAATGGTACACTCATCACATTTGTGTCTTCCTCTGATATAACTCCAATTTTTATATACAATTATACAAATTAACTGTTATTGCTTTTTTTTCTTGCATTTTGAAAGAAATGTTTAAAATTTTGAATCAGCTTTCTATACAATAGTAAGTTGAGGATTATTTTCGAAGTTATGAGATTCTACAGATCCATAAGGGATCCTAAAACTGTGCATTGAGATTAAAACAAATTACCTATGGAGTGTTTGTACTCATAGCATTCTAAATAGAGCATCCAGCAAAATCGGAGGGCGTAATAAAATAGAAATTTACAAAAACCTTTTTACAAAGCACAAAAAAGAAGTAGCTTGAATACTGATCATTTATTAAATAAGGAGTCACCAGTTTCTTCAAAATTTTGCAGGAATGACTGGTGCAACTTCGCCGAATCTCCATTGACTTTCATGGTTCGAATATAGCCAACTTTCAAGGTTGATGTGATAATATTTATGTACTGAATTGCTTTAAAGTTTTCTAATCCTTTAAGTGTAATGAATATTTTATTAGAATTAATTATTAATGTTTTTATTATCCCATTAAGACTCTAAAAAAACTATAAATATTTTTTTAAAAACTATAAATATTAAATACTGTAAATATCTTTTTAATGTGGGGCGGGAATTTATAAATTTAATTATTATACTAAAATTATATTGCCGTCGTGAGTCTCAGTCTTGAGAAGGAATATTTTGATGAAATTAAGTATTAATTTTTTCACTCTTTTTTTTTTTGGATAGATGAGTGAAATACTTTACTATAAAAACTCATAAATTGTTCTAGCTACTAAAACAATCCAAGTCCTTTTTTATAAGGAATTTTTCCCTGCTTAATTGTCATTTAATTTAAATTCTGTCAGTTTTTTCCCCAGGGAATGGGGGAGAGAGCTTAAACTGACACTTTCCTTATTTTTTTATGCTTTTTGACCTAAAGTGTTGTTCTGAATCAATATTTGAAGAAACAGAGCCTGCTGTTTTTTTCAAATTCTTTTGAAAATTTTATTATACCAGATCAGAAGGAAATGTTATTTTAGTTTGCATAACTGAAGATAAGTTTAGAAAATAATGAATGCTAAGCTTTTTATATGTAATTTTTTGTAAGCATTTCTGTTTCTCTTTTCTTATCTTTTAATAAGTTCAGTAACTTTAACTAACAAAGTGGAATTAAATTAATATCAAACTGTATCTGTGTTCCTTTACTTTCAGTGCATATACATCTTTAAATAATTACATGGTATTTAATGACCTCGATGGCATTTACACATATACATTTGAAGCTGAGAAAAAGGTAAACAAATTTTCATGGTATAAATATTTAACTGAATGTAAGTTACTTATTCTTTTTAAAAAATTTGTATTCTGTTTAATTTTAAAAGCTGAATTATTAAGTAAAATGCTTGAAATTGTAATTGAAGATCCTTTTGGCAATGTCCAAAAGTACTTCCAAATGATACATATGTTAATGCATTCACTTTGTCACCAAATTTTCAGAATGTGCCTAACTCTGTAACCATTATTCGGTACTTACATATTAACACCACCACCTTGGTGCAATTTGGGGATTTTCTTTTTTTTCTGATGATAAGGCAAGCTTATTATTGGGTACAAATGGGCAGGTTTCTTGACTTTTTTTAAAGATTTCAGAGCTATTGATATTTCTCATAAGTTGACAAACATTATCAATATATCAAATGAAAAAACACTGAGTAATTTAAAGTAAAAATTTTAATTACTAAATAAACATTATATGATACATTAAATAGAAATAAAATCCATGCATTTTTCACAAGATCTGTCTGCAAAATTTTTCGCATTGTTGTTCTCCCCATGTACGGAGCTATCTGTTTTTTTTTTTTTTTTTTTAAAAAACATCAGAGAATTGTGCAACAACAAGTTGCATGTGACATCAGCATTGTGTAGTAGTAGCCCTTTAGCAGTTTTACAGCAAAGTACTATTTTCGTGAAAAACTCTTACTGCAATTTCTTTCGTAGCTCGCAAATTCAACGCGCACATATTTAAAAATTAGTTTAAGAAAAACAGTTCATGATTTGTCTGTAAAACCATCGAAACTTCAAATACAACAAAGAGAATGCATATGAAAATGATAATGGTGTTTGACTGAAGGATTGTTCTCAACATGGTTACCTGAAGAATGATTATTCACATTGGTGCCAGATTTTGGTATATTCTGAAAATTTAGTGACTGAAGTGGTTGTGATAGTACGTAAGGATATGACATATTCTTTTGGCAGTGGTGCGCAAAATCATTTTTTTGTTTTTACATACTATAGCACCATTTCTGAATGTATTCTGTTGTATTCCAAAGGTTTTTTATAGACAAGTTGGGATATTTTGTGCCTTAGAATGGATTTTAAAATTTATGTTTATGGGATTTACTTACCCAGTATTTTGCAGGTTATAATATGTATATATTAGTTATCATTGGGCCTTCCTAACTTTTCCTTAGCCCTAATTTTGAGGGATAGCACCTGCTTACTCCACTGGCAGGGCAGCTTAGCATTGTCTGAGGATAGAGCTTACGTGCTCCACCAGTAGTGAATTCTGAATACAAAACCTTGGGTAAAAACCAAAATGGCAGATCAGGCAAGCATAAGAGTTGCCTAAAGCAGTGTTTCTCAACTGCTGGTCTGTGAAATGTCCGGCTATCTGTCCAAAAATTGTGCCAATGGGTCGAATTATTAAACTTACTGGTCCTCAAGAACGTACCAAAATGTTTTACCTGTCCTTGGAGTAAATCCAGTTGAGAAACACTGGCCTAAAGTATGTGCCAGACAGCTAACATCTGGTTGAAATGAAAGTTTTCCTACAAAAAACGTTCTTAATAATGTTAGGGAAAAAACATGAAAGCAGTACCTTTAGTGTAGGTAGCAGTCACCACACAAATCTACGATTTTCTGTGAATGTTTTGATAGTTTTTCAAAGCCTCGGCCCAGAAACTTGGTGACCGCGAGTTCAAAAACAGATCCACCTCATTTCGGACTAATACATAAATACCATTCCTAATTTTTTGCTTTTATTTTGTGTTATTAATTTTATTTTGCAATGTTTATATTAAATGTATTTATTAAAGTGCTGTAATACTTAAATAAAGCCCACTATCCAGCATTCAAATAACCAGAATATTTTAGGATTAAAAAAAATCCCCAGAAAAGTTTAATAACCAAGAGATTATTATAGAGCTTCTAATGATATTAGCAGATATGTATTGGGGTCAAACAATGCGATTTAGCACTAATAATGGCATCGCAACACAGCCATAAGAAGTATGTTTTGATTTAACATAAATTCAGTTAATTCAATTAAACCAACTTACCTCAATAAGTTGGTTTAATTTTTGAAAAGAAGGATACAAGTTCTGCTTCTTCCTTGCATTTTGAAAAATAATAAATATTTAGGAGTGCATGAAGTGGAATGTTTTCAAAGTTATTGAATCTGAGCAAAAATGATACATGACTTTGAAAACAATGGCAATGTAACATGAAAAATTATTATAAGAGGTTTCATTTTTATGGGCTATATTCATAATTTGTATGTCTTTATTATCTGTTATCTAACTAAACAAAGAGCCATATGTTCATTGAAACATCTGCTGGAATGATTGGCGACATCTCCACTAGCTTTCAAGTTCAGTGGTATTTTATAATTTGATGGGAATGTCAGTGGGATTTTATAATTTGATTATAAAATACATTAGTTTTTATGAAACTAAAATGCATTTTTTTAAAAATTGTAATTTTGAGTGTACGTTTTTGATATTCAAGTTCATGATAAATAAGGTGATTGTTTTATAATTTCATAATGGAAATTTTGACCTCTACTTTGGCTTTTCTAATGTGAATCACATATCTGGTATTTGGCATTTTCTGAGCTTTCCAGATAGTCGAGTTTTAAGGAATCGAATGTGTAATAACAAATTATAATATATGAATTAAAATGGATAGCTTTAAAAGATTGCTTTAATAGATAGCTTTAAAGGGATGCTTTAATTGATAGCTTTAAATAGATGCTTTAAAATACATCATAAAGCACAATTAAAAAAATTAAATTTTAGCTACGCTGACCAATTCATGTGATGTAAAGAACAAAGCTAAAAAGAAATGTTCTTTCATAATATAAAAGGCTTTATACATTTCTAATGAGAGTTTTTTAAAATCATGTATGAAATATTTCGTAAGTATCTGATTTCAATTTTAATTTTGAAGGAGGATTGTTTGGCTTGCAGTCAGAAAGTCCACACCTTAACTTTTTCTGAGACAGATAAATTACAAGTAGTGCTTGACTTTCTTATGGAGAATGCAAATTAGTAAGTTTTTAAAGTTATTTATTTCTGCTTATATTCTGGGGTTTTCATTCACTTTGTTTACATTATCAGTATTCCTTAAAAATATTATATCTGCTTGTAGTTATTTCAGTTAATAGTTATAAAATTACTTTAATAGAATAATTAAATAATAATTCATAGCTGAATTAAAAATATTAATAACACCATGCCCCTAATTCTGGCCATGAATTATGCACTCATTGGCTAGGGTTAAGGATTATCAGATTTTCACATGTTTGTGCACTTAGAACAAAAATACAAACTCTTGCAATTTCACTGTCTTTGTATGTTTTAAGCACCCTCTATTTTGAGAATAATAGGCATTTGGGTTTTTTCAGTGAAATTTGCATACACTCGTGTGGAAAATTAAGAGAATTTTCACATTATATCGAATATCTGAAAAACTAATGGATAGATCTTAATGAAATAATGAATATGTATACCATTTTACTTATGCATGGTTATCAGTAAAGCTCATAGTGCAGGGATGTCCAAAATGCACATTATGGTATTGAAATGAAAATGAGTCTGATATGGGGTATGGTCCCCTTTCACTTCTGGACAGGCTGCACAGTGTGATGGCATACTAGACAGGATATAGTTGAGGAGTTTCTTTGGCAGTCAATCCCACTTCTGCAGCAAGGCAATTTCCAGCTTGTTCTCGAAGAGGTATGGCAAGATGAAGCTGCATTCTCATACATGCTTTATATTATTCAGGTCTGGAGATTTGGCTGGCCAATCCATGTGGCGAGTATCCTCACTTTCCAGGTAATCATTGATTAGCTGAACTCAGTGTGGATAAGTGTTGTTGCCTATTAATAGGAACCCAGGGACCCACCAGTGGTCGAGCGGTAAAGTCGCTGAACACTGGTACTGCAGTCTGAGGTTTGAATCTCTGTGAATGGGCTGGATGCATAGGCATTTCATTATTCGCCCCATGTGCATTCTGTATACGAGCCATTTTCCCACAGAAAGTCCTCCATGAAGGCATCTCTTTCCTTATACAGATATCTCTTGAGTGCTTTCCCATAATCACATAAACTAAACCAAACCAAGAGGAACTCAAGATTGGCTGTGCCTCTGAAAAGTCAAACATACGGCTCTAAGTTTTCTGTATACAGCTCATAGGAGTCGGGGAGGCTTTGTCAAACATATGTGCTTATGCTTCCTCCACAGATATGCATATCTATACTTACATATTCAACTCTGAATATTTTCATAATTCTTCAGTAGCATAATTAGTATGTTTGGTTCAATACTTTTTTGTAAAAAATAGACATAATTTGCAGATTTTTTAAATTTTGCACATAAACATGTAAACTTAGGAAAAAATATATTTAATATAGTTCATGTTATGGTTCATATATTTTGTAAATCACTGTAGAATACTGAAATGACCAAACAGAATCGAGAAAATTTTTAATTAAGTGTAGCTAATAGTTTTCCAGAATGTGATACCTTTCAAAATATTTTGGCAGATGCAAAGGTATCCTGCATTGTTTATGCTATCAAAGAATCTTGCATCTAATTGTATTCTTGTAGCATGTAGGACAGCTTTTAGTGAGTTATCTTTCTTTCATAGTTCTGTGTAAATCTTATTTACAATGAGTAATTTTTTTTAAAAGTCTATTTGGTACTTGTATGTTAACGCAACCATCTTGGTACAATTTGGGGACTTTTTACAGAAGAAAAAATATGGTGAAATAAGTCATCATTTTATTTGGTAAGAGTTATTTATCGGCAGCAAATTGGCGATCTTGGCAACTTTTTTAAAAGAATCACCATGCCATAAATGTTTTTGTTTTCAAACCATTTTCAGAATGCACAGTGTGAATTATACAAAAAGTTTGCAATACTTATTTATTTCACAACCTGGTCACTTGTGTGGCTAAATTAAGTAATTTTAAAAAAAGAAAAATATATGTAAATATTTTAATAAGTTTCAGCTAGTGTAATTTCTTAAAATATTAAATATTCCTAATTAGACATATGATAATTTAAACACATTTTGATTTAAATCAATTAGATTAAAAGAAAAAAACATAATCTTAAGAACTGCATGTATTGCTTTTAAATAGCTTAGCTTATTAACCAATAATAATCGAAGATAAAACTATTTTATTTTAACAACACAAACCTTTTAAATAGCCAAGTTTTTTTAAATATATGTGAAAGATAAATGTCTTACATTATGCTGAATGTCAACAGTCTGGTGCTGTGGAGATAAAAATGTTTTATTTTGGTCTCTGTTGCCACTGCTCGCTTTTAAACCTCTGAGTTTGTTAATCAAAATAAAGTCATTAAATTTGTACAAAGCATTGAAATAAATAAAAACATATTTGAAGTTCGACCTTGACCATTCAAACCTTGAGGTGCCCATATTTAGGTGGAAGACTGTGCATTCTAAACTAGTTACTCTAGGTTCTGCCGATTTTTCACAAGATGAGGCATACATACATACAGTTCTTTATCTTATGATAGAGATTGTGATGATTCTCTTATGATCTCTTATGTGATAAGATGATTCTCTTATGATAGAGATTGTGAAATTCAAGCTTTTGTGCTGTTTCTTTTTAAAAAATCCAATTCACAAAAATAAATTAAAACTGTTTAAAGTATTTCAAGGGGTAAGAATTGTTGTTTATCAAGGATAAATTCACTGGGGTTTGTATGGTTCTAAAAAGTGCTTAAAAGTCCTTAGGATTTTTTGGTCCTTAAAAATCCTTAACATCGTCCATAACCAAGTTTGGCCATAACTGGCCAAAATTAAGGATCCTCAGTTTTACTCATCTGACATTTTTGTCTGTTTTTTCACAACTGCCATTTAAGTGTGAATTAGCATTTTGGAGGAATATTTTTTGGCAATGAGTTGGCAAATATGTATTTGATGGGTTAAGATTTGAATTCTTGATTACTTCATAATATAAATTGTGGATACTCAAGTATTAGGCATATGAGGCCCTGCCTCATTTGAAACATAAACATTTCAAAATAATTTCTTTTTTGAGGATGAAGAATTCATAAAATATTACATTAAAAACAATGTTTTCTGTTATGGTAATGGATTTCTTTTATTATGCAACTCTAAATTTGTTGAATTATCACATTTCAGCAAATTTCAAGGTCAGTTTGTATACAAAAATTTTTATTCGGAGATTTGTGAAATTTTGATGATTTTTCTTACAAACATAATACAAATATTATAAAAATTATGATATGTTAAAATTATAGGCACTTCCTCGTTATAGTAGACCTCAAAATTTAATGGCTAATTAACTGAGATGTAACATGTAGCGAGGTATAAGAATGCATGGCGAGATATCTTGGTTGATTAGTGATTCAATCTTGGAGGCCGTTGTAATAAGAAAGTACCAAAAATTATATTGCATTGATAGCATTACAATGAAACATTTTTATTTTCTCCTGCTATGTTTTAAAGTGACATTACTTTTCGTTTCAATGACTTTGGAGTATTTTGATCTGAAAAATAAACAAGATAATAAATGCTGCAAAACACAATTTGCAATATACTTCTTGCAAAACACAAAAAAATCTTATATATATATATATATATATACTACTGGGATTGTTTAAAAATTAATCTAATTTTTTTTTCTTTTATATGTTTTTCATAAAAAGAATTTTGTTTCAGAATATTTAAATGTGTATCAGTTTTCTCTTGAAAATTCACTTTACAGTTTTTGTTTCTGAATTTTTGTTTTTCAAAAGTCTTCTGGCATTTTGCCCTGACAGAAATGTAGGGATAATTTTTCTTTTGGATTTTAGACCTTGCATTTCGGAAGGTTAAAATGCAAAGTATCTTCATGGTATTAACACATAATGGACTTGTTTTATGGGAAATTTATGATGAATTTCTCATCTTTCGGAGAATCTGTGGTAGAATAGAATAGTGGAAACAAAATTATTTGAATTTTGCCCTTTTAATCCCAGAAGCCTTTCTCTTAAACATGTTAATTTTTCCTTTATTTTGTCATCTTTCCACTAGACACAAGCATTGAATGAATTACAGAAAGCAAAGTAACTGCAAAATGACAATTTATTAAAACAGTCATCATATATGTCTCAGTGCACCATACGTACCTCAGTGCCTGCCCTAAATTAAAAAAAAAATTGCCATCCCTAAATTTTGTGGGTCAATGGTTCACTGAATTCTAAAAATTCTGCCACACTAACTCTAGTGCCGATCTTGACCATGTATCATTTCATATTTATTCTGAATACTCACATTATTAAAGAAATAAAATTAGAGTTTTTTCTATATGTTTTAAGTAAAAGTAATTCTTTAGAATAATAAAAATGTGTAATTAAATCTGAAAATTCTAAAATAAAGAGGAAATTCATCACCCTCCCCAAAAAATAAAAGATTTTATGAAGAAAGAAAAAAATGTTCTTCAAAGGTACATTGTTGAAACTTTAACAAATTATGTGATGAAACAGAGATTAGTGGCAACATTGATTTGTTTATTGAAATGAATAAACTTAGATGCTAAAGAGAAGAAAATTGATGTAAATTTTCCAAAATATATAGAAAATTTTTAAATTAAAAAGACACATAAATAGTTTGTCGTTTGTTGTTGCTAACAAACATAAATAGGTTGTAGCTTTTAATGTATAGTTATAGTAACATAATTTTAGAATCAATATCATTAATTGCAAAATGTTCTTAAAGCTTTTTTAATGGATACTTTTCAGAAATTAAAAAAGAAAATGTAATTATAATCATATAAATCTATTATGGCTAAGAGTATCTAACTACATAATTTAATTATTTGTAATTAACTGCTCACCCTTAGAAATTATCTCTACATGTTAAGGTGAGTTATTTTCTCAAGTTAAGTCTTATTGTGGATGCAAGATACAACACAAAATATAAAATTTAACATAAAACTTTATTTCTTACAGCTATTGAGACTTAAAATGATATAAAATAACCTACTATCTCTGATGTTTCAGCGGCATGTAGTAACTTTATATTATATGCAGTAACGTTATATTACATACTGCATATTAACTCAGCTACACTCTAAGCTATGGGTTTAACTGGGTCTGACAAAGTGCAACTATCTATCAACACTTACCAACCATAGCAACATCATCCGTTTACATCTGTTCTGATAAGTGGCTCTTTGTCTCTAAGCAAGCAGCTACAGGGACTACAGCCAAACTTCTGTTCAGTCATGCTGATTAGTATTTTATTTCACTATTTAACTTACACCACTTGACATAAAATTTATATATACCTATGGAATGAGCAAATATATGATGAAATGAGGCATGAAAGAAAGAATCAATATAAAGGTAACTGTTAGTAAAATTTAATATAAAGCCACTAATCTTCTTTTGTGAGAAAATAAGGGTAATATGTAAATGTTTCAAGAAATTTTATACTTTAATGCTTAAAAAGATTTATGAAGTTAACTTTATTCTTGAATTTGTTTTATAATTAAGTTAAATATTAGATTATGTTTAACAATAATACATCCTATTTTCAGACTTATTTTATTCTTACAAGTTACAAAAGTAATATCACAAATGTAAAGTTTGGCTGTAGATAATTATTTGAGCTTGTTCATTTGCTATTTGCTTGATAGGTCCTTAATGTTTTTCATTGATATGGTCCTTAAAAGTACTTAATTTCCACATGCAGAAGTGTATATAAAGCCCAGATTCTTTTGATAAAAAAGAATTATAATCTCCCTTGGAACAAAATTATCATTTCATTACTATCATTATTATAATTTTATTATTCATAATTATCATTATTAAAACTTCATTATAATTTTTATTGAAAGAAGTTTGATTTGTGTAATTTAATATTGAGAGCAAAAGAGACTGATTTGTGTAATTTATTAGTTTTGGAATCTACTTTTTGCATTGATTAGTAGAAGAAATTTTGCTTTTCACAAAGGTGATTCATCATTTTCCTCAAAATATAGATTTCTTTTGTATTGAAACTAACATCAAGACAATGTTTGATTTTCTTACAAAGTTCATACACACCTCTTGCACTATATGCATGCAATAGGTGGCAGTAAGAAGATTCTTTATCTTCTCTCACTGCAAGGTATTTTCACAAAAAAGAATTCATAAAAGGAATTTCGTAAAAAGGACATATGTTCATTTAAAAGTGATGCTATTTAAATTTTTATTGTAATCAAGTTTCCTGATTTTGACTTTGTTTTTTTTTTTCTCTCCCCGCAGTCAAATGAAATCTCCTGGTATAACCACTTCTATTGACGGAAAAAATAAAACCCTTTACATGCAGTCAGTTGCTTCCATTGAAGAGGCTACTAAGCCAAATTTGAAGAAAACTCTGAAAGGTTTTACTTATTTATTTTTTCCTAATGTAATTGTTTAATTATTCTACTTGATTTATGTGAAAAGTTTAACATTATTTTCCTAATGCATTGCCATCTACATCTACAGGTAGCTAGCATCAATAGCCGAGTGGTAATGTCGCCGAACACTTGTAGGTCGACCGGCATTGGAATCTCCGTGAATGAGCTGGCTGCTTGGGAGTTTTTCCCTTGTGAATTGTGGTTATGAGCCAGTTTCTCTTGAAATGTCCTCCATAAAGACATTCTTCCACATAAGCAGATTGTTCTCAAGTTGTTGTGCCTTAATCAATTAAGCTAATCTAACTTAACCACTGACCCACCAGCACCTGAGCTATAAAGTTGCTAAACACTGTTAGTTTGATTTGGGTTCAATTCCAGGCAAAAAGGGCTAGCTGCATGGTCATTTTCATGGTTTTCCTATGTGAAATATGGATATGAGTCAGTTTTCCACAAAAAATCCTCTACAAAGGCATTTCTTTCCTTAGGCAGATAGCCGTTACATGTTTTACCATGACCAAATAAACCAAACCAGTCTAACTGGATAGATCAAAAAGTTTTCAATCTCACAATAATATATATATATATATATATATATATATATATATATAAAAAAAATTGGTTTCATTTTCACAACAGGAAAAAAAAAATGCTCTTGCAGATGTAGTTGTATTATTAAATGCTTAAATTTGGATGTTTCATTGGAGAAATAGCTTGCATTCGTCTCTGACTGTTTACTGAACGAAGTGATGTGTTAGTTTTAAAATGTTGAAAATTGAGCATCGTTCTGGAATTAATTTTTGGTCTGAAAAAAAACCCTTAATGTTAAAGAAATAAAACAGCCCTCAAATTACATGTATGTCGATTTGTCTCCATCCTGTTAAGCAGTGAAAGAACTGGTAAAACAATTTCATATGGCCTGAGAATCCATTGAAGTAATTTTTTTTAATGTTGATCCTTGGAGTGTTGGCTTCAGAAAAAATATCCCTCATGTCCAGGAGAATATATAGTGTGACACATGATTAAAAATCAAGGAGATAGCAGCAAGCCTGAATTTATCTGAAACAACAGCTTTCCATATTCTGTGATCTTCAGAGGGATAAATTCTCTGCAAGATGGTTATCTTGACTTCTCTTGCCAATTCAGAAACAGAAACATGAACATCTTCACACGAACAAAGTCTGTGCAAGATTGGTATTCCATCATCTTTCAGAAATTCATAAGCAGCAATTTCTGAATTCAGTTTATCATTATTTTGTATTGTATACTGTATTTAACATTATTTTCAGAGAAGTTACAATTCAGTTTCTGGATAACTTTTGTTCTAAACTGCTTGTATTCCCTCCCCTTATTATCCCTTTTTAATTTAGTTCTCTTCCAAAAATCTGGAGAACTTGAACTACCAATTAATTTTAACTTTAATAACATCTGTGCTGAAGTCACTAAAAGTTTGGTTTACATATCATCTGGGTATTTTTGGTATAATTAAGATTGTGGTTCTTTCATAAATTTCTGCAGTGTTCTTGCAAAGGTGACCTACCAGGCCATATCTATATCATCTATCTGCATTTGTCATTGGTTATGAGTATGAATTATGTTTTATGGTCACCTGACATAGATATGGCCTGGTAGGTCACCTTTGCAAGAACACTGCAGAAATTTATGAAAGAACCACAATCTTAATTATACCAAAAATACCCAGATGATATGTAAACCAAACTTTTAGTGACTTCAGCACAGATGTTATTAAAGTTAAAATTAATTGGTAGTTCAAGTTCTCCAGATTTGTGGAAGAGAACTAAATTAAAAAGGGATAATAAGGGGAGGGAATACAAGCAGTTTAGAACAAAAGTTATCCAGAAACTGAATTGTAACTTCTCTGAAAATAATGTTAAATACTGTATACAATACAAAATAATGATAAACTGAATTCAGAAATTGCTTATGAATTTCTGAAAGATGATGGAATACCAATCTTGCACAGACTTTGTTCGTGTGAAGATGTTCATGTTTCTGTTTCTGTGAATCATCAGACAAAATTTGTTGGTCATGCTAGGGTGTCAACACTTTGACAACAGAATAGCTATGGGATCATCTTAAACAAATAATTGTACAGAATTGGAGAGGTGTAATATCCATGATACTGACCCATCGGCTTGCCGAATGGTGGCGATGATCTGTTGACAGTGGGGACAAATTTTTGGCCATACTGAGAGACATAGGGGTGGCTATGTCAATGTAGTTTTATATCTGACTAGTAAGCCTCCCGATTCTCTAACAAATTGGAAATAATGCTTTAAATTAAAATGACTGACTAACATTACCTGTGTTCCATGGAGGTAGGAAAGGAAGGAGGGGCCAATCCACACTAGAAGTGAAGCACTGCTTTGAAGCTTGGGTCACCAAATGGGGTGTTCTTTGTTTACATTCAGAAGCTCGCTTGACAGGATTCTGATAATATTTCGACACACGACAGTTCTGTACAAATCGAAAATTTCGCATGAAAGAAACATTCATAGTGTGATGGATAATAGCAATTTATATAGTTTAGTGACATTTATGCACAAATCACATCTTGGTTATGTTTCGATAACTAACAACAGCGATTTTGATTATGAATTTGTTTTATAAAATTCTAAGCTGTTGAACTACAAAAATATAGATTTTAAGGAAAAATGTTATGCTTAAAGAATAAAAAATACCTTACGGTACATTTAAAATTGTATACGTCTTTCGATACCCTTGATAGAGTATTCGCAACTTTTATTTTATTTTCCAAACGCCAAAATGTTTTAAAAAACAATTTTTTTTCACATCCATATATTATTGTTGCATATTATTGCAAAAACCATGTATCTGCCTTTGACAAAATACATAAATATTCATTTAATTATTTATAAATGTATTTGAAATGAAGAATTTATTCACTTATAAACAACTGTGAAAGTACTGTGAAGAAATCTAATGATTAAATGTATCTAATTTATAATAATTATAAATGTTATCTAAATATATAATAACCTTAATATTGAATTGTAAACATAAATTGAAATCCTGTTGACAAATACATTATAAAACTATTTAAGCAAGATTTGTTCGTATTGGAAAGCAATCTGTTAAAAGGTATTGTAAAGCAAATACTATGAGATGCACACTTAAGAACGTAATAAAGAGTTTTGGATTATGTATTGTTGAAATGAAGGGTAAAAAAAAATCTGATAAATATAATTAAAAGAATTATTCCCCTTGCATTTTATAATAACTCAGTTACAAGTTTTAAATAATACTTAAAAAAAAAAAACTTATTTTATTCCCTTTCAGAAATGTTCAGAGAAAGTCAAGTACTATTTCAAGTATTTCGCTAATTCCTAATAATTCTCTAATTTAAAATGAACCAAATAGAACATTGACTTACATTTTTCGATTTAAAAGATGCCTCAGAAGCCAAAAAATCATGTCATATTTAAGAAAGTATTTTAGGAAGAAGCTCTATAAATAGAAAAGAAATAATGCATAATTTTCATATTAATAATACAATAAACTTTGATCTTAATTTTTGTACGTTAACCGAATAAAATCGAATTACCTTAATTTTTTTTTCTAATGTAATTAACGAAAACTTGTGAAAAATATTCATTCAAATTAAACCATACTGAGAAAACTGTCCTGTGAAAAGTTATAGCATTAATTCCGTTCAGAATGAAATGTTGTTTAAAAATATGTTGTTTTCACATACTTAGGACTCTGAAGTGTTGTAGAAAAAGAAAATATATACATTTATATGTATATTTACGACGTAATTACAAAATATTTACATCCGAACGCGTCAAATCCCATTGAACTCAATAGTAAATGACCCAATGTTTTGGTCACCACGTAGGGATCGCCGGTGCTTCAGAGCAGGGTACGGGAGAAACTTGTTTAGGGCGACTCCATCTTACTTCCTACCTCCATGCTGTGTTCTAGCCAATGTTTAATCATTGGTTTCAGCCCCCAATGATTTGTCTTAAATAATTTTTTTGGTGTGTTAGTATTGATGTTAATTCATCATGCACATGGAAAAAACTAAGCTATTTTGGCTACTAGAAGTTGATGTTAACTTATCAAGTACATGGAAAGAATTTTTTTTTTTTTTTTTTACCTCTGAATGATCTCTTGGATTGCTTTTTGTACTCCCATTTTCAAAATCCTTACTTGTAAATGTAAACACTAGTCAGCTGAGTGCATCCATACCACACACATTTTCTCTTTCCCCATTCTTTTTCCTTTGCCATTTTTCTCTTCGCTCTTCTGAATCATGTTAGCCAAAATGCCGATGACACTGTTAGTGCTGGAAATAATAACTAAAGTAACAATAAATACCACCTGAAGTAGGTAACTCTTGCCTTAAAGCTCATTCGTGTCATAATATCGTAAAACTGTCATGGAAAACGTTTTCGGAATGCAAATTGTAAAATTAGATCATAATGACAAGGCTCATAGCATCCCACTGATTGTATGATTGGAATCGTAAAATTTGCAATTTTAAATATATAAAAATAACTATCTTGCCTGCTTTTCAAAATAAACTTAAATCTTCATTACATTTTAAATTGCTTCACAAATTGTTGCCATCCTTAGTTTCAAAATAAAGAATAATTAAATTAAGCATTTTGATATTTTCTGATTTGAGTTTATGTTAATAATGAACTTTCTGGGTAAACATGCCAGAAGAGATAAAAAAAGTAACCCAAAATTTGGAACCTTTTTTAAAAGCAGTAACAGTCAGGATATCTTCACCAGTTTACATCCCAAATAGTGTAACGAATATGTAAAAAAAAGTACCACAACACTTAACACTCCAGAAACATTAGCACTGATCAGCTGATTACGGCCAGTGAACACACATTTTTTCTGTTTAGCTTTTCGAATATAAAATCATAGTCATAAAATGATGACTAATAACAAATGTGAAATAAGTCCAGTTTATAACAATAAGGTAGCCAAATAAGATCGCTTGAATTGTGTTTAAAATGCAGTAATTACCACTGAGGGATACGATATTGTATCTGATGATTCACTGTGGCTAATGGTGCAAGAATATTTCTCAAAATAACATAATAAAATTTAATAAAAAAATATTCTAATAATTAAACAATCAAAGATATATTATTAGGCTAACTTGCCTTCCACATCTTACACGATTAGCATCTTATCTGCCACTGACTATCGGAGCACAAACAGCACCCTGTAGCCAAATGGTGCAGGAAATATGAAACAGGTCCTTTTCAAGATCATATGACTGCATTCATCTTGTGATGTTGTCTAATTTAATATAGTAATTTGGTAATGTAAGTGTGTGTAATTTCTTTGAATTTAATTTACTTATGAAGTGTTGCTTTTTGTGTGCTTCAATATGGTAACGTTATCAGTTTCTTTGGTTTCGATCGTGGTTCACGGGCAGTAGGTCACCAGACGGGTGTTTGATCACCTGTTGTGAAATTACCATTTCTGCTTAATCTTAAATGTGTTGCATATGTGTAATTTTTATTAATTCCATTTTTTTAGATTTGGGTATCGTCGATGGCCAGCAGATTGTAGTCGCCGATTCTACTACGCCCTCGTCTCTTATTTTCAAGCTAAATCTCATCTCCAGCATGGAAAGTTAACTGTGGATGAGACTGTGTAATATAGATACTGTATTTTTATTAATTTTGCTATCAAATAAATCTTTTCTGTGTGATTATTTTCCTCTGAAGCATTATTTTATAGCTAACTAACATACCAATACAGTACTAAATATTTAAAATTTACTGTTTAAAAATATTTCCTGATTTTGTAAGTTTAGTTTATTTTAAATTAGTAAACACATAACTGTTATCAGTTTAGTGTACAGCAAAATTCTCGATGTGCCTCACAAAAACTGGCCTCTTTGAAAGGTAGTTTGTCAAGAGAAGTTATCTTGTATTTAAATTTAATTTCCTGCATAAGAATGATGTCTTAATCAACCCTTTTGCGAAGGTGCACCTTTGTTTAAGACGCTCGTGCAGGACGGAAGGGAATCGAAGGCTGTCACCGTACAGGACGGAGATTTTGCATCGCTAAGCCTAATTTTATAAAAAAAATCTGATAAAGAAAGTTTCACTTCTAGCATTGTAATTTTTGGTATCATTTTATATTATTACTTGAGCTCTTATATATGTTAAAATTAGCACTTAATAACATTTTCCCTTTATTTTACATGAAACTATACTAAAATAATTGCTTACCTTGTAAAATAATTTTCGGAAGTGCTATTCAAATTATCCCAAAGTTTTTAATTGATAAAATCCATCAATAAAGTTTAAAATTAATAAAACAACACAATAAAGACTATTTACAGTAAAAACTAACAAAATTTATAATGAAGTTTGAGTGTGGTAAATCTCGATGTGTGGAGAAGTGCCACTTTCTAACTCTTTAGAAAATGAACCATCACTCTCATTTGCATTAGTAAATGGTTCATTAACCATGCGAGGGTATTCTTCCTCTGATAAATAGCGCTTTCCCGCCATAATAGACTGGAGGTGAGGCTTTTCAAAATAAAAAGAGAAGAAACGGAAATATATCTGAAGGCAATGTAAAACCTAACAGAACTCCACATAGTAACCCTAAAAGACCATACATAGCAGGACTTAGAAGAGAAGGGCTAGCTCATAGAACTTTTCTCCCTGAAGCAGAAAGTGAGAAGTGATGACGTAGTCATGATGACACTGAGCGCGCAGATGCAATTCACAGCTTGAAAATTAGCGTTTTTGAACCAGCGTTTGAAATGAGCTGTGTGTGAAAGATAGCTATAATTTGGAAGAGACAATGTTACTGCTTTATGCATTTTAGACTGAACCATTAAAAAATTTAATAATACTTACTCAATTTTAAAATAATAGATAAAATGTGATACTCTTTTAACAAAGTTCCATGGTTTTTTTTTTTTTTTTTTAAATTTTTATTTGCAAGTTTTTTTATTTAATGCCCGTTTATTTCTAATCATTTCTTTATCTGCATGTTAACTGAGAGAAATTTTATACTGCTTCTAAGATAACTATAATAGCAGCTATTTAAATTTACTCAAAAAACAATTTTACATTGACATAGTTTTAAACATGTATGACATATATGGCAACATTTCTGCTAACCTACGTTTGATTTTTTGCCTAATTGTAAATTTTACATTGTTATAATTCTCTTTCGATTCAATATAATAATAGATATTTTTAAAATAATTTTGTAATTTATACTTATATCTATCAGGCAGAATATATCAAACTCAAGGTCAGGAACCTAAAACTGCGTTCATTTCAAAAATAATGGACATAGGATGCCACCTAGTGGCCTTCAGAAAAATGTTCCAGCTTTAAGTGCGTATACGCACCACCTGTCTTCTGAATGCAATCTCTAGTGATGTGTGGATGGGACGCCTGGCTGTAAGAAAAGTTCTTAGGGAATGCGTACATGGGACACCCGTCCTGAAAGGGTTAATAAGCACAGTGTGTTCCTGATTGGCATTTGCTATGTGGAATAAATGGCGCAAGAAATTCCCACATGATGTTTATGCCTGCATTCAATTCCTAGGTTATTTTTCAGTTTCTCCCCCCACTTAAATATGTGTCTATTTAAATAATAAAACTAATAGATTTATATTCCTATGAGATAAAGCTCGGCAGTGGCCGAGCAGGAAAGTCACCGAACACTGGTAATTCTGTCCGGAGTTTGAAGCCGTGTGAATGGGCTGGATGCATGTGCATTTTCATGGTTTTCCCATGTGTAATGTGTATACAAACCAGTTTCTTTTACAGAATCCTTCATGAAGGAATTTCTACCCTTGAGGAAATAGCCCTCGTGTGCTTTGGCATAATTAAATAAACCAAACCTAGCCATTGTATGAGATGAACAATATATCAGAATTATTTAGTTTTCTGCCAAGTTCAAAAGTTTCTAAAGAATAAGCCGTGCGAAATCCTTAAACACATTTTGCTCTAAACAATAGCTCCTGAGCGACAGTTTTAAAACTATTCTGTATGTATAATATAGCTTATGCAATATTTAATATAATTATTTATTTAGTCATGAGTTATTTCTTTGTATTTTGGTTGAATTTTTTTTTTTTTTTAATCTTATGAAAAAAAAAAAAAAAAAAAAAAAAAACATTCTACCAAATTCTATGAGATAAACCTATGAGTTTTATCTCATAGGATACTACGTTTCTTATGAAATATCTGGTGTAAATCCGTAAATCCTAAGCTGCTGAAATTTCACTGTTATCCCGATGAACACAGCATGATGTGAAATGAGAATGTGGGAAAACTAAAATGTCTGTTATATATAGAAAAATTTGAAAATTAATTTTCATTTCTTCTATTCTAAATACTATCATTCTCTGCATCTTGGGCTTACTGGTGTCTGAGTGGTAATATCACTGAACACTAGTAGTCAGATTTGGGTTTGATTTCAGATAAAGGGCTTTCTGCATTTCACTATCAATACGTGTAACGTGGGTACAAGTCCAAGTAAAAAATGCAATTTTGAAATTATTATTACTTGGTTTCTGTTATGGTTCTGGTAGTATATTATAATGTGATATGAAATAGAATAAACAAATCTTAGATCGTAAAAATTTGAATTTCAATTGTTAGAACTTGTTGTTTTATTTTAGTAAGGACCTAATGAATTTTAAATTTTAATTTTATTAATGTGCGAAAGCCAAAAGAACTAAGGACAATGCTGTGTAAAATTAGGTATAAGTATTTGTTTTTGTTTTATAAAATAATCAAATTTTTTGATAACGATAGCCCGTATTTTAATTATGAGAATATGATAATGTAATGTACCAAACCGGACCAATAATTTTTTTCATTTATGAAAGTATAAAAGCTCAGAGAGCTAAGCTGAATATTGCGTGTATTAAATGCTTTTAGGAATAAGTTTTTGATGTTTAATTAATAAAATATCAAATTTTATGATAAAAATACAAATTTTGATCCTTATGAGATCTGATTTTGCTAATAACATTTTACTTTATTCCTGCATAAAAGCTCAAAGAAATGCTACCTATATGGTGTTATAGAAATAATTATTTGATATATATTTTTAATTATAGTTGCATTAAATTGGTTTAAATTAATATGAAGATCAAATGTTAATTTAAACCAATTTGAAGAATTTAAAGTAAAAAAAAAAAAAAAAAAAAAAAAAAAATTTGGTGTAGAGACATTAGATTATTTTGGAAGCAGGAAAGATGAAAAATGAGCAACACCCTCGCCGGGAATCGGACCACGGACTTCTGGATTACGCACCCAGCATGCAGACCACTACACTACGAAGGCGGGAAAAATACCATATATACTTCCCCTTTTAAAGGGCGACTGGGGTTTTTTAGAGGAAGCAATCACCAAATCCTGGGTGTGGAGAATCATCATCCACCACCCTTTTAGTTCGGGCACCAGTGTAGAGATATTAGGCTATTTTGGAAGCCAGAGAGATGAAAAATGAGCAACGCTTTCTCCGGGAATCGAACCACGGACCTCAGGAATGCGCGCCAAGCGTGCAGACCACTACACTACGAAGGCTGGAGAAATACCTTATAATGGGAACAATTACTACTGGAAATTTACCAAAACTGAAATTTGTTCTGAAAATGATTTCTGAATTCATCTGAATATTCTTCCTTGTACGAAGTAAAAAGGAAGTATTGTAATCGCGAAAAGTTTCAGGCAGCATATTTTAAAGAAAATATCCATTTTGACCGCTATCGAATGCAATTTAACGATGTTTTTGCGTCATATCTGTACGTAAGGACAGAATAAAATACTCTTTTCCTTCAAAAAAATTTATAAAACTGCTTTAAAATTAATTCTGAAGATAATTTTTCGTGGCGTCTGTACGAACGTATGTACGTACGTGCGTACGTACGTATCTCGCATAACTCAAAAACGAGTAGCCTCAGAACGTTGAAATTTTGTATATAGGACTGCTATAACATGTAGATGTGCACCTCGTATTTTGGTTGCAATCGGCAGCACCAAACGTATATAAATATATTTATATATATATCCACTCTATTACCCGACTCAGTAATCTCAGTTTCTTTATTCTTATATGTTTGTAACTTGTACATTTTTTGCTTTAAAAATGATTGAATTATGTTGTTTTTATCTTCCGGTTAAGGATTTTATGCCTTTAGTAAATCTGTGTGAAATATTTTTAGAATTATCAGCAATTTTAAAGTTGTTTAATTGCCGCTAAGACTGTTTTTTAATGGCGGCCATTGATGTTTACATTTGAAACAGGAGACTAGTGGATTTGTTGCCAATCTAGAGAAACTTAGCTTCACAACAAAAGATAACGCATTCATTATTATTGCCAATTAAATCATGCTTAATCTTTCTTTCTGGAATTTTTTCGAGGAAATAAGCGTTTGAAGATTTACCTCGTAATTTTTAATATAGATATTTGAGTTTTTATGTATTTTTGCCTTCTCGCGAAGTGAGAAACTGAATTAATTAAATGAGAAATACTCAATCGTCTGTGGAAAAACTGTTTCTTTTTTTGTTTTGTTTGCTTAATTTCTTTTTTTACATACATAGTTCTAGCTTTATTATAGTATTTGAATAGAACATGTGGCAACGATTAGATAATTCTTTGAATGATATAAATTTTGTGCATTCTGAGTTATAATATGAACGAAATATAATACTGTTAAGTAA